AGTAACACATAGTATATATACACATTATAATGATTACACAAACAATACTATTGTCATTTAAAAATTCTAACTGCGCTAAAATAGAGGAAAATAAGCGACGGACGAATAATTATTTCAGTATTAAACAAATTAAGGACGCGTCATTATACTTTTACTAGAGACATTCACGAGCGGCCATCTTGGATTGTTATGATAGCTCCTACACGTACACAGTAATTAGCTCCTACACGTACTCAGGAATTAAGAGTATATAGATACATGTTATAAAAACTTAAAAAGTTAAACAATATCTAAAAAGTTGTTTAAAAGAAACAACTAAAGTGTTAATTAAAAATGTTTTATTGTTTCAACCATGGTAAAATTGTTTTATTTGAATTAAAAAAAGGGATATATTTCACCAGCAAGGCTCGAAATCCGCTATTTGATTTTCCATGTGTCCAGGTGACACATAAACTATACGTATGTAGTTTGTAAAGCCTGCTCCTTGACGCCATCCACTAACAATCACGATCGCATCGCCAACTCTAATGTACCCTTTTCTTCGGAGAGAGTCGATACCAGTCTGTATTCGAGTTTGCATGTCTTTACCCCAATCAGACAAGGGCTCCGCTGTATTGATAATTACATATATTAAATACAATAATTTTTACTAAAGGACTAAACCATTAGTACTAATTGTATTATAAGACAGCGATAAGAAATTTAATTTATTACGCTGCGAAACTCGTTTGATTTAGTTTCATCACAATGAAATAATCAACTGTCTATATGAGTTCACCACAGTTACAAATACTTTGATATATGTATCTTTCTTTTAGAAAATTATCCACGCATAAAAATCTAATGCCGTAAAAGTGGAAACGATATTGAAAGGAAAAGTATTGTTCTCTTGGTACATTTCGTATTTTTATATTACAATCTTTTAATAAAACTTTAAACGATCTACGTTTATATAACGTTTTTTACTCGACTCTACTCATAGAATATACTGGCAAGGTTTAGTCGTTAAACCCTTGGGGACTCTGTATAATAAAAAACATATGTGCACATCCATACATACGAAGAAATGAAAAGGATAGTATATTTATTTTAAGGAAAAACATAAGATATACTTACTTCTGTAATGAAGAGAATGGATACCATAATACAGCTGTAGCCATCTAGCAACTACTCCATAACGAGTAACTGCAAGAATTAGACATTTAGGACGATACATTGATAATAAAACAGCGCTGCGTCCTGTTGTTGTAGTAACGACAATTGCTGCTGCATTTGATTTTATCGATGTCTCAACTGCTCCAACTATGATAGAGTGTAAAGGATCTAGAGGTATTGGCACCTATTTTCGCACAAAATATCTTCATATTAATGCACATTGTATTACGAAAAATCGAATTATAATAATATCAGCTTAATTCCACCGAATATCCCTACCTTGTAGCTTAATTCATCGAAAATTTCCTTTTGCCACCGAGCGCTTTCAGCTTCTCTGCATACTATATCGACATCTCTTAATAATTTAGTAGTATCTTTCATATTCATAGCACCAGTTTTCAGAAAAATTGCATCGACTCCATTTAAAACAGCATGCGCAATTAAATTCATATCAATATTTAACTGTTCGTTATTATATACTTGAAACCCTAATACAATTGGTTTTCCTATCTATAGGAAAGGAAAAAGCAAAGTAGAAATTTATTTATGGATCATGATCTTGAGAATTATAGCTTGCTAGTTTCGTTAAATATTAGCTACGATTAATTAATATAATTTCTGAACAATTTCTCTTTCTTTTTATTTATACATTACCTAATTACAGAAACAAAAACTGGACTTTAAAGGAACATAAATTTTTGTGACAGATATTCGTATTGACGATTTGTAAATTTCTATCATTATGGCAAATCTGTTTTGTTACGGAATTGAATTGCATAGTATTCTATAGAATTTACAGTGAAGTTATGCAAGGCAAATATTTATTAATAAAAGCTTACCTTTATACATTTCGCAATAATTATTTTTTCGACTAAAAATAGTTTTTCATTCCCTACGTCTATTTCAATATTGTTTCTATCGAGAAGAATAGCATCAGCTGAATGTAAAATTTCATCGAAATTTTCGAATCCTTGCTGAGTTGAGATCTTTGCCATAACGCAAATTTTAGTAACACCTTTAATCAGTATCGATTAGCGTAATATCAATGTCGTGCATCGAACAGATCACTGGAATTATGTACAGTTTATCCATACCCATTTTCTTCAAGCGACTTTTAATGCCGTACAACATTTTCTCGTTACGTGTATGATTCATTATAAGGAAATCACATTCTAACATTGAAGCCAATTTCATATGTTCAGTGTCTTTTTCCGAAATTTGTGGTAATGAAACTACACTGTCTAGTAATTGCACCAATTTGTTATCCCTTACAATACCACCTTTGATTATTTTACAAGTTACAGCTTCTTCATCTGCGTTAAAAGTATTTTGGTTTCTATTAATGTTTATATCGTGTGCATATTAATGTTTTGTAAATCAAGCTCTATTTGCCGATCAAAAGCTAAAATAAGTTATTATTAATACTACTGTTATTTTCTTAAATTTATATTTTACAATCAGCGAAGGGTAGTTTTAGTAACCATAGCGAAAATTTGAATCTAAAACATTTAAAATCTGAAACATTCACAACTAATTTATCCATTTAGTTATTAATTTATCAACATAGGGTAAGTGTAACTAACGGATACAGGTGACTTGTAATAGAGCAGCGCCTCGATCAATCAATATCCTATCTCCTACCCGACATACGCGAGGTAATTCAAGGTAAGAAATCCAAAAACATGTAGCACACCCTCCACGTTTTGCGATATTGTTCGTTACCAATTTTACCATTTTACCTTCCTCTAATTTAGCGTATCCCTATAAATATTAATACTCGGTATATACAATCGCCACATAGAATGCCATGTAAAAATTTTACTAAAACATATACAATATACATGTATTAAACAATATCGTCAACAAATATCTTGTTTCAAGTGGTTTTAGATAATAATCATACTATACTCTTCTCATCACCACGGAATACACCCGTTCTTATTTCGGGACCCTGGAGATTCATTGCAACTCCCAAGGGGTAAACCTCCGTCGTCAATTCATACATTCTATTTCCTGCTTCTCTAACAGATTGTACAGTGATTGCGTGCCATTTCTCTGTTTCATGAGACATATTCAAACGAACTATGTTCGCACCAGCCATCATCATATTAACGACGGCGTCAGGATGAGAATTCGCCATGCCTTATTAAATATATAAGATATTTTACAGTACACACTCTATTCATATCTAGAGTTTACTTATTTATTCCTTTTTAATAAACTTAAATAATATAATCCAATAATCAAAGGAATGTCACTACGAATGAGGTAGCCAGATTTTAAAAATTTAATGTTTTATGGTAAGCAATGATTGTATCTAACAACTGGAAGACAAACTAAAGGCACTTGTTAAAGGAAATATTTTAAAAGAATGTACTTTATGGACATCGTTTTAGTCATTGTAAATATAATTTCAAATATCTAGTTTTGAAAAAGCAAAAATTTTTTATTTAGAGATATATAACTAAAGTTTATCCGAGCATCTTACGGTATCGTCTTATCAAGAGCAATTTGTATTAAAAGACTAAAAATGACACAAATGTTTGCTCACCTAGGGTAACCATAATTCGTGTAAGCCTTGCTAGTTTAGGGCTGGAATTGATATCTAGTTGTATGTTGTGTTCAAGACGTGTATTTTGATATGCTGCTTTTACTTGATCGTCTGTTATATACTGATCTTCAAGATTTATCATCTGTGTATTACGAGATAAATTGACAAATTTAAAAAACATATTTTATGAGATCAGATTGGAATGAATCAAAAGCATAAAAGCAAAAAGTTATAACATAACAAATATGGGACATTAGCGTATTACTTATATTTTTACTATAATCAACGCAACTTATCTTCTATTTCGTTGTATAAACGTATTTGGCTTTACATTCTATTCTCTTTGTTCCCTGTATGATATTTTTATGATTTTTACTGTTTTGTATTAAAATATTAGAACTGTATTGAAGAAAAAGGAAAATGTTTCAAAACATAACGCTAAATTTTTATGAAAGTAAATAGAAAATTTTAAATTAAAAAATAAAACCATAATTGTATAAATTCAGTACGTTTAATATGTTCAATCGAAATAACAGTCCTTGATTCCTACTCATTTATTAATGTAAATGAAGCACGTATACCTAATCACGATAATTAATCAACTAATCTCTATTAGGTACAAAAATGTCAATTATAAAAATAGTACCCATGGCATTCGGCGGCATGATTTTATCCATTTAGTTGCTGGTGCAATGTCATTGGTACATAACATTGTGTAATTCAGTATATGTTACAATTGTGTGTCCTTCGAAGCTTAAAGAGATGTATGTGATTATTAAGAATGGGAATTGTAAGTTATTTGTCCATTTTATTAGTAATTTGGTAGAGGTTTATAAGTGGTCAGGTTACATGTTGTGGTTATTAAAAAATTTGAACACTGCATGCTCTGATATAAGAAGGTAGTCCAGTCTTTTGAAATTTAATATAAGATGTTAGAATTTGAAGTTTGTTATGTTTATGAGTAATTTTAAAACGATAATAAAAAAACGCATAAAAGTAAAATAAATTTCCTTATTTATGTTTCCTGCAGAAGATAAAGAATCAAGCATAGCGTTTCATTTGGTGAACAATAATTCAAGTTTCAATAATTTACTATTTCAAATAATTATTATACTTTATTATTGAACAATGGGTTTGTGTACATGTATATGTACATTTACATATATATATACGTAAAACCTGATATACATACATGTATACACATGTAAATACATATGTATATATATATACATTTTGGTGTGCTGTATTTATGGAGGTACATTGTAATGATATTAATACTGCAGCTACTGGCATCTTTAGATTGTTATCCTTTCAATGATTTTACTAAGTTTATCATACATCATCATACAATGTAAGTTACATATTAAATTTCCAAAATCTAAAGTTATTTAGTATCTCCTGCTCTTTACAATACAGCCAGTGTACATTTATTCAACCGTCCTAAAAAAAGAAAAATAAATATTAAAATTATATCACGAGTTTTTAAGAGTAAAAAATAAAAAATATGAAAGTTAATTCGTTAAAAGTAAAAATACAATAGTTAAGGACACAAAAGGTAAGACAAAAACAACATTTACATTCTAGTACTTTTCAGTATGTACAGTTTGCTATAGTATATTTCAAACAATTTTTTAATTATTATTTGTGAATCTATATATTCGATAAAATTATTAGTATAAGAAATGAATGTGAATTAAATCACACATTTTAAATAAAATACCTATTGATGATTTAAAATTTTCGTTGGAAACTGCTAAGAACTGAAAAGAGTACGATCGTTACCAGGACAAATATATGTTTTGATATATTAGCCCTCACTAAAATAAAGTACACCCAAAAATATATCAATTTGAACCGATTTTTTCAAATTTTACTTTATTGATAACTAGAACAGATAACTTTCTTCCGATGAAAAATTTTCATAAATTTAAAATTACGATAATAAAATCGAAAACATTAATGCGAATTGAAACAAATCTTTTTAATGCAATTTATAATTTAAAAGTAGATAATATTATTTTTTAACTATTTTCTATTTCATTAATCAGAACGATATATTTTTATACAAACTGAAAATTCACTGCATGTTTTCTGAAAAATATTCTTCACTTTCGTGAAAATATTGAAATATATTATTAATACACAACATAATATTAATACACAAAACGTTATTAACAAAGCCAAATACATAAATGTTAATTAGACTAACTATTTTCGTTTGTTTAATAAGCTTTGTTAAAGTGGGCACATATAATGTAATAAATTTGTATTTTTGCAAAGTGCAAGCGAAATAAATTAGCAATTGATATCAATGGACTGCATACAATAAATGCAGAAATTACATAATAGATTCATAACTATCTGTATCACTACGTATAGTACATGCATCATCATCTCGGGGAACTTCTATATCTACGTACACAATACGAAGTGTATTCGTAAATCCTGGGCCTTGTTTCAAACCAGTAACTATTACAACTGAATCTCCAGATTTAATGAAACCGCGGCCTTTGCCGAATTTCAAACCACACTGGACGCGTACATCAACGTCTTTCACCCAATCAGCTAATGGCGCTTCTACACATAAATAAAAAAAGTGAAATAATTATTATAACATAATTATATACAAAGTTTTCATATTTAAATTATATTTATACTCTTATTAGAAAAGTTTTATTCTACATTACTTAGTAAACGTCATTTAGTTGGATTATTTAGTACATTTCTTTTGAATAAAGAAATTCAAGTTTAATAATAACGTTAACCATAGGAATTCAATATATTCGTCACTTCTTCATTAATTCCTTTTCCTAACAATTTATTTATGTAAAATATATCTAGTTAGCAATCTTAATTCAATCTCAAATATAATGTAATATACTATTTTCTGGTTAGTACCTTCATAATAAAGGGGCAAAATGCCACGATAAAGATGTGCTTGTCGTGCAACTTGATGGAATCTAGTTACTGCTATAATTGGACAACGTGGTCTGTATTTTGCAACTATGTGCGCTGAACGGCCGGTAGTTGTGATTACTATAATAGCACTAGCTGCACATTTTACGGATACTTCTACAGCAGCGATTCCAATAGCATGAGTAGCATCAATTGGTGGTAATGCTTTGTGCGTAAGATCTTGGAAAATTTGTGTCTGCCAAATTACAGCCTCCGCTTCTTTACAGATGTTAGCCATTGTGCGCACACACTCCAATGGGTAATCTCCTTTGGCAGTTTCACCTATTGAAACAATAAATAATTACATATTTATAATATGTACTATAATATGTAATATGTAATATAATAATTACATAATAAATACAAATTTAGTAGATTAATTAAGAAATTATATATAGATGATAATCGCTTATTATGAATTAATAATATAGTAATTAAATAATTTATACCTGATAACATGACACAATCTGCACCATCAAGTATAGCATTAGCTACATCCGATGTTTCAGCTCTAGTTGCACGTGGTTTCTTCACCATAGACTCAAGCATTTGCGTAGCACAAATTACTGGTTTCCCAACTTTATTACATCTACTGATCATACATTTTTGTGCTAAGAATACTTTTTCTGGCGGTATTTCAATACCAAGATCACCACGTGCTACCATAATACCATCAGAAGCGTCGATAATTTCATCAAGATTTGTCATTCCTTGCTGATTTTCAATTTTGGATATTATTTTAATGTTCTTTCCCTTTTCACCAAGAATTCCGCGAATTTCTGATAAAGCTTTAGCATCTCTTATAAATGACGCAAAGATCATATCAACGTCTTGTTCAACACCAAATTGCAAATCAGATTTATCTTTTTCAGAAACAGCTGGCAAATCTACTGGTGATCCAGGTAGATTGACACCTTTGCGAGAACCTAACATTCCACCATTTTCAACAGTAGTTACAATTACATCAGGATCTAAAATATTCAATACACTTTAATTAAATTGAAATCAACTAAATTGTATATTTTTTAAACATAGAAAAGGAAAGAAGAATATACGTAGAGAAATGACACGTACTGACTGCAGTAACTATGAGGGAAATCAAACCATCGTCAACGTAAACGCGACTTCCAACTTTCAATACTTTAGAAATATTCTCGTAATCTACGTAAACAAGATTTGCATTGCCTTTTTCCATGTATGCCTTATCGGTAGATAATTTAAACGTTTGGTCCTTAAGTAATTCGACTTCAGCAGATCCACCCTGAGAAAGTAATAAACAATTAGGTATTATATGTTAATTTTATGTCTTACACGATATAGGATGCGTGAAAAATCCTATCACACTATATATTTTCATTAAAAAATTTCTCGACGAGGATATTGTAAATAGACAGAATATTTTTATATATTTAAACTTTTTATTTTCATAATTTGTGTGTGATTGTGTGGTAGTGGCTCTAAAAGATCTTGAAAGATCTTGAAATACTTTAAATTACTGTACTATGATCCAATATACGAACAAATAAATGAGTTACGTACGCCTTCCAAAAGTCCAGTACGGATTTCAGGACCTTTTGTATCGAGAGCAATCGCTACAGGAACGTTAATGCCTGATCGACTGGATAAGTTCTTCTGCGCTTTTCGTACGTTGCTAATCGTCTCAGCATGGTATTCATGAGAGCCATGAGAAAAATTTAATCGAGCGATATTCATGCCCGTTTCAATCATCTTTTCGAGAGTTTCGACGGATCTTGAAGCCGGTCCGATCGTGCAAATAATTCCCGAAAGACGGACGAACGATGCATGGCTGTCGATGTCCAAGGCACACATATGATCTAAATGGCTTTGAGCATACAAAACTTGCGTGTTCGGCTTTCCAGCCATCTGTGAAGATACATAACGATTAAATTTAATTCTGTTTTCATAAGAAATATTTCAAGATTATTAAAAACAATTCAAACATTTAATAGTTTAAAGCATCGCTAGACTCTGCGTAACATTTAACTATAAAAGTAGTTACTACGTAAAAAATTGTCTAAAAAAGCACTGCATACTTGTTTCTTAATTAGCAAATAAAATCTAATATGTGCAAGTAAATGCAATTACTATCATAATATTATATAAGCTGTAAAGGTGCTCATAAGGCGTAATCCGTTTATATGGAATTGTGTCTTTAAAGCGTGGTTAAGACGTAAAGGGAATGTCTTGTAACCCCCACACAAGAGTCTATAAACTACTACATCTTATTATTATTATAATATCGATGAATTTAAATTTAAAGTGGTGTTTACATAAAACTGTGCAAACAAAATTATTATTATATAATACCAGGGAAATTCGTTTAACTATTAACATAAAGATTTGTTTAAAATGGCAAAGCAAACAATAGACATCCTTCATAAAATTTAGGTTGATTATAACTACAAGCCTCCATTCTATTGAGGTATGCATAACATGAGATTAATTTACGCTGTTTCGGGAGAAAAGGAGAGAAGAGGATCTTACGGTGGTCGCAAATCTCCTTTAGGTGCACACACTTCCCTAATTTCAAGGTGACCTTCGCTTTTTGTACGAAACCATATGTTTTTATTTAGGTAGGCGTATATCCCGTTTCGTAGCGAACTTATCGACCTATAATGTTGCTGTTCCAAAGTTATTGAACGTTATTTATTGTCATCCCAAATTTGCCTTCGTTGGACGTCCCCAAGATTTGATTTACCGGAGTAGTGCATCCATTAGGATGTAAACATGAATCGAAATCACACTAATGATGCGATTTATCATTATTTTTATTTTTTCCTTCTTATTCTTATCTATAATCTGCTGCTAGGCAGATCTTCTCAGTTTCTGTCACAGTTGCTTCGAAGGAATCAGTGTTATTGCAAATAGTATTACGTGTGTTTCCTTTCAGTAACCATCTGCTTTACTATAGTGCATTATACGCTTAATGAAATTGTCGGTCTGCTTGTGAGTTTACGAGAATGCGAGGAAGTTAGAAGAATTAGAGAAGAATTTGAGAAGAGTCGAGCTATCATTTGGGGATAGAGTAAATAATTGTATTATTATTCTTTTGAATACAAAATTATTCTTTTGAATACAGGAGATAGGAAAATAGTAAATTTTAAATGACAGTAAATGATTTTGGATGACTTTAGAATACCAACACGTTATGGGTCGATGAATTCGCCACGAAACGGGGTATACGCCTACCTAAATAAAAACATACAGTATTGCATAAAAAAAAAAATAAAGGTCACTTTGAAATTATGGAAGTGCATCCATCTAGATTTGTGGCCATGATAAGATCTCCTCCCTTTCTCGAAACAGGGTAAATTTTATTTGGAACATTTTTTAAAACGACCTATGGCTTGGGAAACAATTACGTACGAAACATTAAATAGAGCATATATTATAAAACCGGTATAAACCGTATATCGCACGTAGATGAACTAAGCTTGCATACATTTGAATAATTATTTAGCTTAAAATTAACTTAAAATATATTATAATATAAATCATAATTAATTTGTTTTAAGGGAGTAAAAAATGAATATGATACTCATCTAAACAAAGAATTTTTAACCATATACTAGATACAAGTTAAAAAATAAATTAGAAGATTCTAAAATTTGTCAATTACTGAAAATAACAAATATTTCTAAATATTTTGTTTCCATCAAAATGTGTATATTCTTGTCAGTTGTGAAGAGCATACTACGTTTTGATACTTTTTTGAACACTTCTACCTGAGGCTTGCCGTTTAGAGTTATAGATAACTCGACAGACAAACGTCCATCATTGTCGGTAAGATGGTTGTCGATAATCACAACCTAATCCATGCTTAGCATATATTATTTTAAATTAAACTCATTCATTAAAAAACGTGTATTTACTAAGGAAATTTATTTTACTTTAAATTTATGATGCTTTTATTCTTCGAGAGAAGTCGCTCAAAGAATGCAACGAATCCAAATTAAAGCTAATACACGTATAATACAAAAATCATAGGAATTGGTTATCTAGAACTATTAGGTACGTATACAATGATAATAATGATTCATCTTGTGATTATTTCAAATTATTTGTTGCTTTAGTTATAACATAATTTCACGTTAAACAAATAAATAGGAATGCTATTAATTGGTTTTTGTTAATTGGTAAACAGCTAATACTAGTCATACAAAAAAACGCTAATTTATTTTGTTAGTATCTACGAAGTGCATAAGGAAAAACAAGCATTCTGGTGGCCTTCAAGTTTAAATAGATCCTGTTAAAATGTACTTATGCTAAAATATTGCCTTAGGATGCTTAGTTGGAGAAAAATATCAATTTCATCGAGCATCAGACTTCCTTTTACATTTATCTTAATCGAGGAAAAACTTTCTGTTAATTATCTTGACCTTCATAGTCTTTCATATGATACAGACCGTGTTAAGGACAAGATTGCATACAATTTATTAGGAAATTACATTTTGTTGTAAGCTCAGTAAGTTAATTTCATCATATTTCTAACTGTATTGTATTTTTCAATACATTTCAGGTCTGAATATTTACGAACACTTACTGAAATTGCACATACGCCAATAATAGAAAATATTTTTTTAAACCCTTTAGTTTGAATGAATAATTTGTCATTGATATTTATTGCATGCTAATTAGTATAGATGTTGAGATTAATCGAAATAAAAAATGCGAATGTTGATCTAGTAATAAGATTCATTCAAAGGTCATGCATCTACGTTATTACTTGGCACTGAAAATAACATGGTTACAAGATAAACGTTTTAAAAATGTATGCTCTTAAAGAAGAGTAAAGTTCTCTTGACATGCATCTATTAGTTTGTCACGCCGTGCATATAATCCTTCGCGAGAAAAAGATAGCGCGCTATGTAAATATAAATATTTGTAACTTTCGAAAAACATTACTTTTTGCCTTTTATACCGTTTAATAAGAATAGTGTATTATTTCGATATGTTTGAATACGCATATTACAAGAAAATTTTATTTTACAATACGTATTGAAAAATAACGAAAAATCGAATGCCTAAATGCCTAATATGTATAGAAAAATATTATTTCGTAGCTCAAACGTTTGCTTTTATAAGCAATTAAACGTCATTAAACGTCATACATTGGCAAATATTTAAATCATCTTTTAACAAACTTTCGGCTTAATATCCAGTTTCGCTCGATGCATTTTTTAAATTTCTCAACGCCGTGAAATTATCTTTCCTTGTCATGTACTGATCTTTCGTAGAGGCTCAACTTAGACCACGAATATGTACGATCGTGACTTAGATGGGCCACTTTAGAACCGTAGCTGAACCATAGAACGGTGGTTGGACTATGTTCGGACAGAACGACACGCCGACCACTCGTGACCATTCGCAGAACACGCGCGAGTCACTCGTCTCTATTCTACCGTGTTTTGTACTTGCATGGTTGCGAGTAGTAGCGAATAGCCGCGAGTGGTCGCAAGTGGTCGGCGTGTCGCTCTCTCCGAACGTAATCCAACCACCGTTCTGTCCAGCTGTGATTCTAAAGTGGCCCATCTCAGTCAAGTCCTAGTGCGACCACCATCGAACATTTTCATTCTAAAACTTGGATAATTTACTGTCTGAAGTATTCTTTTGACTTTGCTTTGCGAATACTTGTATTATTCTATTGGAAAATAAAGTTTGTGCTCGGAATTATTACAATGTATTTCTTCAATTGTTCGTCTATTAAAGTAATACAATTTGAGCTCTTCATCTTTCCACTTGTAAATTTAATCTCAGTGTTTCCATAGTACCCAACGCCAGCCCACACCGTTACTCTTCTACCACCTTCTAGTCGGCAAGTTAATATCTATGTTCTATCAGTTTTTCTGACTAAAAATAACTCTTCGCCATTTTTCTCTCTCAAAAGCATATATCTTTTAGGAAATTGTAAACGTGCTTCTTTACGTTGCCTCGTTAGTGGTGGTGATCAATTTTTGACGTTTTACGTATTTACGTTCTTTTCTAATACATCGTACATTACGCACATTAGCGTTTACACCAACGTCTGCAACAATTTCTCTTGCAATAGCAGTAGAATTTGATGCACTTGTTAAAGTCGCATGTCGTTGACGATCGGCTTTTAATTTTGGACGACCTGTGCTTTTTCTCTTTCCATACTCCTTTGCATTTTTTAAAACATTGTATACAACTTTCCGACTACGATTTAATTGTTTCGCAATTTTAGAAATAGAACAGTTTTCTTCGCGTAAATTATGAATTGCTGCTACTTCACCATCACTCAATTTTTTACCACGACCCATTGTTCTTAATTGCACAAAATTTCGATATTGAAACACGCAGTATTAAATATCTTCTCGTATGAGCAGTTTGACGTCTTCGCGCTAACTGAAAAAGGAAAACTTTGAAGCAGCGCTATCATTTTGACGCAGCGATCACCACTAATGTTTACGTTCTCAGTTTTAGTTTAACCCAGTAGGCAAAAACGAAGTGTTTACCGCGAAACGTGTAATTTATCGCTGACCGAAATGATACACAGAGTGTCTCCAATTGAAATGTCAAAAACTTTGGGGACCGATAGTTATTTAAATTTGTTTCACGAAATCTTGTAATTATTTTTTTGTATAGATATGAAGAAAGATTGTGAAATTTTTCCAGTTTCATTGTTGAAACATTACGATATAGAAGATGTATTCAATTTTCAATTACATCTATGTAGTCTTTAGAACCATCAATATACAGAATCGTGTCTTTCGTGGACATAATATTAGGTTGTACACAAGAAAAATGAAAGTCACAGTAAACTTCAAGCATTATTTATTCAAGTATTATATTTTAGTATAATAAATGACTATTATCACACAGTACTCTCCCAACATGGTCTTTTTTCCAAACTTTACATTATATTACTGCTACACACCGACTATTTACTTACTTGTATTACATACTGTGGTAATTAATATTTACTTAGAGACATTTATTCTTATCGATTTGAATTACCTTGAAACATGCTGTCATTATTCCGAACAGCTTTCCCTTGTACATGTTACCGTCGCAATCACTCGATCTTATGTTCTCAAATATACAGGCAAGAACACTTTTATCACAATGTATACACTTTTAATATTACGTATTTGTTAAGATCTTTATTTAAATTAAGGCTAATTAGCGAGAAATAAATACATTTATAATACGATTTATAATTACTAAATGTATCGCTACGTATCGTAATTGATATTATGTAACCGGAAAATATTTCTACCACTCTATCGAAAAATGCAGTTATTCGATTAGCAAAATTATACCGGCGACGAAATAAAAGTTCTACGATATAATGGTAATTTTGTTCACAAGTTCCGTACGTCCTGTCTGCCTGTTCGTCACGTACATACTAATAGTAATTAGAGTCAGCACTCAACCTGAGTATCATCGTTCAAATATGTATAAATGTATCCCACAGCCAACCTAGCGATAATTCATTGACGATCTTACTTTGCGACTTATACATGAAAGTATGTTTGTCGATATATTGTATATATAATACTAAATGGTAGTAATCGAATTTACGATTACACTTACAAAATCAATGACATAAAATTAAGTCATAACAGCGTTACCGGCCGCCTCGCGCTGATCGAATATTAATCTAATCCAATTTACATATAACCTATTGATTTATCCTTCTTTATTTTCATAATAAAGATGATTAGCATCAATGAGTTGAGTTTACATACAAATAATTAATTGAAGTTCTTTGCGAATATATATACGTATATAGGGAAAAGTTGTTCAGAATGATGACCTTGACTACGTATTTCAAGCTCATCAAGATCGAGGAGGCGTGCCTCTTTGTAAATAATTATCCATAGATATGTAGATAGGTACTGTAGATAAGGTTAAAAATCGATTTTACATCCATTTTCGTTAAAGTGACGATACCGATATGAATGCGAATACAACGAAGCTATAAATCGAGCATTAGTTTACAAACGAAGAAAAAGAAGCAGAAAAGTGAGTTAAAGAAAATTGTCGATTTTTTGAAATGATATTATATTATCATCGAAAATTGAGCGTTATGCGTTTCAAATTTTAGCTCTCTAGCTGGTTGAGAAGTGGTTGAAATTTCGCTTAAAAAGTTCCATCCATACAGATCAGCATAGAAGCAAACCAAAATAATTGCATTATTCAGCACAGAACACTTAACATATTCGCTATTACTAAAATATAGCTATTTCTCGCCAGAATATCTTTTATCAGAGATATCTTTAGTTTAAGTAATAACATTTGCTTTTGCTTCATTTCTTACGATATTGTTTGCCTCTCTACATATTTTCGTTAAAATGCGTGAACTAAAAAATTTAACAACTGCGTCAGTAGTTATTATTGAGAGGCTACTTATCAGCTATGTAAATTTTAAATACGCAACGTATGTGCCAATAGCAGTAAATGTGGTAATATATTCGCTAAAACTTGTAATATATATTCAGTATATATATATATTCTGTTACAAATCTTGTATATATAGTACCAGAAACAGATTAACTCAATAACAATGAGCGTAAAGTCCGATAACGTCTTTTGAGAAACATTTGTTGTTATTCGGACAATTAGAATCAGACTTGGATAGTTTTCAGACTTGGATATGATTTGTAGGAAACTAAAAGGTTATAAAGAGAGTATATTGGTTTAAAAAAGGACATAAGTTGTTGAAAGTTATATGACATAGAAATTAGTAAACACATAAATAGTACACTTAGATGTTTAATTTTCTACATATCTTGAATTTATCGATTTAATGATAATAAAACAATATTACCCATATTACTGGAATTTGTTACAAATTCAATGAGCTTCTAAAGTTTTGTAATATAGCTTATAGAAACATAAATTAACATGCTTAAAAAAATGAAGAACGTTCAAAGTCAATTTCTAACGAATACATTAGGCAATATACTATGGAAAACATTAAAAATGGAAACATTAAAATTCATACTGCGAAGAACACACATAGCACAGGTCAGATACAAGTCATGCAAAAACTAAGTTAACTCTAGATACTTATCACGTTTATTCGATAATTATTTACCTTCGATTATTATTAAGATATCATAAAACAAGCGAAACAAATTAAATAAAAAGAAAAACATCGCAGAAAATATAAAATGTCATCGAATCATTGCATTGAGATAAATTCGAAGACAAAAGTGTTTGCTAACGTTACATTATCTTTCACGATCGTGATATTCGACAAGAATTACGCATAACTCTTTGTCTATGAATAATATCTACAATAGCATTTTTTCACTTCCTAAGCAGTTTAAACTTTTGAAATATGAAAATTTTTGCCGATTGACGTAGGCACTAACTTTCGTAAATTAGAAATTCTAATTACAAAGTTTGTGCCAAATACTATAGTGACTTTTAAATCTAAAAGTGACTTTTACATTTTAAAAGTTGAAATCAAGCGAAAGGATCGCATGCAAAAAAGGAAACACAATGCAAATATATTATTTATAATTTATTACACTCGACAACGGTGTATTTAGCTACGATCAAATTCGATAACAATTTTTAATCGTATCGGACACTGCGGTAAAACTTCGTTTATATGAATTTATTGAAAAGCAAGTTCGTTCGTAGAACACTATCTGTGATTCTTCGTCCAGTGAATAGGAGTTCGTGTTCATATAAGAGAATTCCACGAAACATTTACTCTTAAACACATAATAATGTTGCGAGCTTGTAGCAACATGCGAAGCGTAAGGGCGTGTTACATAACATTTTATTCATATAAACAGAGTTTCACATATTCGCGATATTCAGCGTAATTCGTGTAATGGCCTAAGCTAACAAAATAATAATATACGTGCGACAGAAAATCGAAGTTAAAAAAAAAGAAACTGTGGCAACACATAAAGTAAAATCACTGCAAAACAGCTGTCCACAATAATACCTTATCGTAGATGGTAACCCAGACCATTTTGGTAGGCTGCGCAAATAAAGAGGACACAGGAATTAGTTGCAATACTGGCTCGATGACAGCGAGCCTACGTCTGACTGCATTCGTTGATGTACAAGGTATAAACTGCTTATCGCTTAAGCAACGGAAGTTTCGGAACACACGGAAGTATATAGAGGAATCGAAAACGTCCAATGGACGTCTTAGACGATGGCGGTACCAGTGCACACAGCAAGTGCGGCAAAATTCAAATGACGGCATTCTAATTCATTTATTCAAAAGAATTATAATTTCCACACCAACTGCGTTCTTTCATTTCATTAATGATATAAAAAGTATCAAAAATTAGTTCAATAAAGTAAAAGTCGTAAAGATAAAGAAAATGTCTGTGAATTTGTCTTACGATATCTTTTTCTATGTCTCGTAGATTTAGATAGCTTGCCTTAGTTACGTGAAACACATTATACGTATGTATAACGACAATTTTATATCAAGCTGATCCTTCGTACAATTTTAAGTAGTCTCCTTGTATATTTAATTTACTATTAGATTATACAGGAAATCGAAATTATATTCAAATAAATAAAGTATACGATGCATGTGTTGTTCTTGTAAGCAAATGTTGTTAAAATTGTACCTAAAAAATTGAAGTAATAACTCGGTATTAAGCTTCACACAGCCTATTGTATGGAATACAGAAAACACGTATCAAACGAAGCAATTTGCGATTCACGCAATGTTCAGATAATACATAAACATCATTAACCTAATAATTATCGATCATAGTTAAGAAATGTTTGTATTTCTTCTATGATTCGTTTATATCTTATCAATATCTTCATTTACAATATCAAATAAAAGAATTGATACTAATATACAATTAATCAAGCAATAAATTAATAATGAATTAATCAATACAAATTAATAAAAATAAAAGGTGAACAATCAAATAAAAATATTGGCTTTTACGGAATACACATGTATGTATATCATCCGTCTGCACTCGCCGCCATCGTCTGAAAATATCTGGGGTCTTTAATTAACTGAATTATACGATTCTTTGACAATTACGAACGTAAAAAATAAAAACAACATAATATGTTTGATAACAAAATACGTGTATATGCACGTATATATTTTTTGTTTCATTTTTACTGTCACATTTCTATGAAATATTATATGTTCATTAAACAAACATTTTTCAAGTTAACGTAATCTAGTTTTCAACAAAAGTAAATCCTCACTTTGTTCGAACGAAACAATAAATGCAGCAATAAATTAAACTTAACAGGATAAGATAAACATCGTCGATGCAATATCAAAATTGTCTGATGATCTTGATGAACTTTTGTGAATATTACCTACGATGAAATGATTTGAAAAATAACATGTTTTATATAAGTTGACCATCATATGTCCTATACATGTTTACCAACATATAAATTACTCACATCAAATTATGTGCTTCTAAAAATTTCTCAATTTTTATCCGAAACATTTTCCATCAGTTTTAAAGATACTCACAGGAATCGATTTAAGCGAGACATTCTATATTAATGAAATTGTTTAATGAACTTTCGTGATGCGTATCTATTGTATTTTTTAGAATTAATCTATATAACATATCTATAGCAAATTTTGGCAATATAGCATAACACTGGAACTAACTTTTCTCTTTTTTCTTGTTGTACCGTAGCGTTAACTCAATTGTAGTGATACTACTAAGAAAAAAGATTTCGTGTTACTACGCATCTTGTTCGTCGAAATAACCATCTCGTTTCTTTATGTTCTAAACTACATGTAATCCAAACGATATTATATTTCAATACGCTCCATCGATTTTTACATCTTCTATTCGTTCAAAGGAAAAATGTTCCCAAACGAAGATGTAACTTGTGCCATATTTTATTGTGAGTACTGTACCCTAGGACCTACATACATACATACTTCGGTCGCGATCGCATCGAGAAACGAGAATTCGATCTATAGTGCTTTTTTCTTGATATCGAGTGTCCAATTTATAAATTGTTTAGCATATTCAAAGCGTTTCTTTCTTATTTCGTGATTTTAATAACTGTTTCGTACATTCCTTGTTTTTACTAACTATTAATTATTGATATTTTATTGTAGTTAGAAACAAGTATTTACAGGTAGCCAAACTTACCGACGATGGAGCGTATCCATTTATCTTCTTTATCTTTACTTTTGTGCTTAAGACAGATATAATACCTACTTCAAACTAATAAAATGCTTTCAGATGAAATAAGTTTATAGTAATATAAATAAATATTTCAATTAGAGATTTAGAAATAATATTTCTAACATCACTATTATTTAAATACTCAAAAATGTACAGTAATATAGCGTAAATATATAAATTTATACTATTTCGTACAAAATAAAAATTTATATTCAGTAAATTTCTAATAAATTTCTGAGAAATACGAAAAATTAAGAAGACGCATACTTTTTCGCATTTAATTTCTATTTTCACGAATTTATTACAAAAAACATCGTAGTCTAGATATCAAAAATTCATATTTAATATTAAAATAATTGTGTAAAATACATTAGCAGAGAAATTGTTAACTATTGTATTTACTTCTGTATTTAAATGATATATCTATAAATTCATTGAAATAATTAATTATTGAATATCAGTAATTTTTCTATTATCAGTAAACACATAAGGACATATCTGATTAACAATTATCAACGAAATTAGATTTAACTTCAAAACAGGAGATTAATTACGCGCGATGATAAAATCATCACGCTATAGTGGCGTGTTATAAATCATGTCACACATACAATTTCATAAAGACCGTGTCATTAAAGTTTCATCAACTAATCTTCAGTTCAACAACTGAAGCAATTGGCGATATAAACTTATTATGGAATCGTATTTCATGACGTAAGCTTCGCTATAACGCAGTGATTTCCAAGTCATACATGCATTATTTTTCCCTTTTTAGACGAAAGAAATCCCGAAACATACTGCATGATAATCTTTACTATAAAAGATTATCGAATATCGCCAGAATATCAATGCTTTTATAATATGATATTTCGACCACAAACATGTATTTTTCAAATTATATGTTCATTCTTTTTTTTTTAGAATTTAATATATTACAATTTATTCATAGGTCAATAAAATGTCCAATTAAAAAAGTGAATTAATTTCACACACACATACGCATATAATTTTATTATATTATATAACTTTTTCATTACAAAGTGGCATTTGAAATATCATACTGATATGTTTTTTATTATTTGTTCCCCCACTAAACCTTTTTGTATAAGACGAGTAATCTAATCGCTTCACATTTCCTAACAATATTATAAGTAAAATTTCGTTCCTCTCGAGTATAAAAATTATTAAATTCATGAAAAATATAACAATCTTTGTCAATTTCTACCAAAATATGTATACTTCATAACAAAGATACGACGTTAGGTTTTTATTCCAATAATATATACTCATATTATCATTTATGTATAACTTAAATTTTTATTTTATACGACAACCAATTTCGTATCTCTTATAAGCTTAATTTCATATTTGTATTATAATTTATGATATTCCAGATGTAATAACGTTAAGTTAAAGAAAAGACGACATCTTTTTTATATATATGAAAATGTCTTTAAGACATATACTATGTCTTAAAAATTATTTCAACGAAAAAGCTAAGGGATATTTATTTGAAATATAAATTTAATTTTCATACTATTTTTTAATATATACTTCATTTAAGATTCATACAAGACTTATATATTACCTATGTAACCATAAAATTTAAAAATGCAAAATTGAATCAAAGTACATATGTATATCTAAACAAAAATATATTTTTTATAGGAATTGTGGGTTAATATTTAATTTCATTATTATCTATCTATTATGTCACTATTATTTATCCGTATAAAATTTGTACACTTTAATAACGTAAAGTATTTATGCACAATATAAAATTTAAATATAGTTTAAATATTTTTGTAGTCATATTGTATATATGCAAGGAATGATGAATTTGTACAAACTAAACAACAAATGTTTGATATATTAATCCTTAAAAATGTGTCCAAACTAGAACCATTTGATATATTACTTATCAGAAATGCATTCAAATTAAAATGTCTGATATATTAATCATCGAAAATATAAAAATCATAAAAATATAAAAATACACTTTGTAATTTGTGTATAAGTATATTTTCTATTTTTATTAGTTATTATACAGTTAATTCCAAAAAAAAACTCTATACACTATTATTACACTTTTATGAATATATAAAAAATTATATAAAATGCTAATATAGTTTAAACAAAAGAAAGAATAGTTAATCTCAAATATATTAACTGAAATTTTAATTATATCAAGAATAAACAAAAAACAATTTTGGAAAATATACGAATATTATAAAGTATAAAAATGATTCAAGATTACTTTCAAATATGGTACTGAATTTTTAGAAAGCAATTTAAAAGAATTTATTGTTTCAAGGTCAAAACGATATTCGTTGTTCTGGCTATATATTTGTTATAAATATCACGTATTCCTGAATAAAATCCATGTGGTAATACATACATACAATGAAAATTAAGTAAAACCCTATTAAATGAAAAGAATAAGTAAAAGTTGGAACTTCTATCGATAGTTACAATGATATAGAAAAAGTTACTTAAAGTATACAAATTCTTAAGGTTATAATCATCAAAGCGACAGCAAAATTTATATCACTTTATGATGCATTACTTTATAAAACTACATAATTTATTTTAACTATTACCTTGCCAAAACTGTTGAAACAAACTCGAATTTAACGAGACAGAAACCAATGATCAGATCAGACGTCTGTAAAAACCAAACTAACACGCCCACAGCTTACAAGAAACTGATGTTTAAGGACACGAAAGGTCGCTGTCGCTAGTCGCTATTTCCTAGTGCGCCCATCTTGTACCTCTAGACTGATTTTCAACGCAAAAGATCATGTGCATTCAAAATGTTCATAAAAGTTCTTATCGATTCATTAACATTATTTAAAATAGCCATATTAATACAGGAAGAAGTATATACAACATGTTTTTATTAATTAAATCATTTATAATATTTTTATTAAAATTGTATACATAATATAAATTATAAACTACTAATATGCTAATACAGTTATACTATATATTAATATGCAATTTGTGAAATTATCGCGGAATTACAAGTAATTTATTTTAATCACAGCAAATAACAACATACAACTCAATTTACGTATTTGAAAAAAAAATCTATATTGTAATAAAGAATATATGTTTTCAACTTAAATAAGTGGTTTGTATCTTATATTAGTCATGAATTTGATAAATTAAGATATAAAATAATAAATTAATAGAGTACGAATTATAACAGCTTGTCTTATGACAATAATTGTCATATAGGAAATATAGAAATCTCTCTGGTTACACTTTACTTTAGGGTTCGAAAAATTTTTTATTTTTTTATTCGCAATCTTGTGGTTTCCAACGCGTAGAATCTGGGGAATCCATTGTTTAAGTTTAATCCATTGTTTAATCCATTGTTTAATCCATTGTAAAAGTTTAGACCATGTAAAATTGAGCATTTTAAGGGTATTTTACATATTACTTTGACGCCATATTGACTTCTATCCATGCTTCGTCCAATGAGTGGACCGCACAGGTGACATCTGATTGGTTCGCACAGGGAAGCATTCACATGCTCTCTACATATACTTACCTTGTTCAAGAATAGAGTGTTTTTGGATCGTTTCTATCAACAAAGCCAACAAATCGATGTTATAACGGCAGAAACATCACCAAACAAATTCGCACAGGTGATGGTCAAATTCATTATCATGAAACGAGGGAAGTGACCTCTCTCCCACAACTGAATTCGATTCTATTTTTTAGGTATGCTTACATATTTAGGCATTTACGTATCAGTAGCTGTACATACTGTACGTATAAACAGATTTGGACACTCGCTAGGGAAAATCATCCTAATATTGAATCGTGACCACTTGTGAAAAATCAGCATGGAAGACAAGAAGGTATGGTTCTACGCATGCGTGATATACTATGAATATAGAGACTTCATATACTATGAAGATAGAGACAGATACAATCTACTCATCTTTATCTGTCTCGAAGGAATGCGAACTTTACTGATCTTTTATGTTGATTTTTTACGATTAGACGGTTTACCCTAGCTAGCATCTAAATCTTTCTATATGATCGTGCTTCATATGTATCTATGTAAGAATATATATATATCATGATGTGCATGTAATTATATACATATATATATATATATTTATATAAATGATAGTTTTTATAAATTATAGTTTCGCCTAATTACAAAAATATCTAATACAATTATTAAAATTTCATTACGTAACAGTAAAATTTATAAATTATTTTAACTCCTACTTGAAAATATTAAAATTAAAATATGTTAAAATTATCTAATTCTTCTTAATTACTTAATATTTCGTTTTTTATGACAAACAATGAAAAAGTATATAAATTATAACGTAAGTACTTACTTTGGTATATATTTGTTATTGAATATGTGTACATTTTCGTATAAATGTTTTTACATATATAGATATGTATTAAATTTTGACATATATATATATATATATATATTAGGACACATTCGAATCCTTAATACAATAGATGTCACCCTTAGATATACAGCGACTATATATATTTACATACATATTTTGGTTTTATTACATCTGGTCATGATGTCCGATATTTTTTTACTAATTTTCATGATATTTAAAGAAAAGTCTATCGGTATGCGCTATGGCAAGTAAAATAAGTAAAAAGGTTTCTAGTGACGATTCGCTTTCATTATCTTATAATAAACGTGTTGGAAGGTAAAGTAAATATTGGTATAGGTTAATATTATAATTGGACATTTTGACAGATATTAATATGAAAAGTGATTATGATATTAATGCGTAGGTTTTGCAAGCAGTACCTCCATAATCTTTAATTTTTGTTTCATCAATTTGTATTTAGTATAATAGTATTAAGTGTTCATTGATTATATTTAAATTTATTTCAAACTATTTGTGCTTATCATAACATCTATATAATTTAGAAGTATAAATTGGAAGAATAACAACAGAAATAGTAAAATATAATAATTCTATGGTTATATCTTATAATTTTTTAATATGTATGTTCTTAATTCGTTTTATATTTTTAATATGTCAAAATATACAGTAGTAAACAAACTTACATCATTTCTTTATAGTATATGGATCTGTATTTGCAATATCTTACTCTTTTATATATAATAATACAAACATAAACAAAGCACAAAACACACATTATTATAAATACAAGTAAAAAAGCCTGTTTTACGATAATATTATGTCCAGATAAAAGTATTGGTAAATTCTTAATAATAATATTTGATTTAATGGTTTCGATAATGGAATATGTTAAGTGTTAAGCAACTATAATTTAGTATTTTATAGTGTATCTTTTTCTGTTGTGTTCGTAAAAATATAAATTTGCCATATTACTCAAAGTTTAGTTATTAACTTTAATAGTTATACAGGTAATGAAACATTAGCGCGCCTTTTTAATTAAAAAAGCAGCAAATAAGTATCTCTCTGTAATGGTTTTGAAGAAAAAGCTTAAATTCTAAAAAACAAGTAAAGTTACTAAATACAATTAAGGGTATGGTATATAAAACAGACATATAACAACTTTATTTCTTAAATTATATATTAGTCCAACATTTTTAATTTGATCTTTAAGGCATATCAATCTTTTCATAGTAATTAATTAAGTGTTAACATTGCATTTGTTTTAGTATTTTAATGCATGATATATAAATATTATTTGTCATTATTATTTCGATTAATAGCATTATTAAATATGTATTAGCTAAACATGTATAATTATAAGGTAGTATATTCAATATAATAAAAGGAGGATATACATATAAACAATACATGAAATTTTACATTTTTATGCAGTATATTATTTATATCTTTTTTGTATTTAATTGTTTCTAATTATTTTGATTGAGTGTGTATTATATGTATATTTCAGAATCACAGGTTTTAAACATTATTCAACCTTTAAAATATCTCCCACTGTCATAGAAGAGAGACAAAAATTTTGGAATGAATTATTTCTTAAATATTCAGAAAGAGTATGTATAATTTCTATTTTTTTTATTACATAGATATTAACTAAAGAGTTTCTTCTTTTCATAATAATAGTAGTAATTATAATATATTTTATTTCAGGAATCTGATGAACCTGAGTTGGATATCTTTACATTAAAACCATGTCGAAAAAAATTCTATGAGAAGGAGAAAACAAAAGTAGAAACGATAAAGCAGCCTATGTGTAAACCATTAAGTGTGGTACAATATTGGGTAAATACAAGTTATCTACCTTATAAAGAACTTTATGTAAATAAAGACAAACAATTGAATATTGAATTGTCTTTGACAAGCGAAGAATGTATAAGTTCATCGCATCATAAGTCTTCTAGTAGTTCTGTTGATACTGCTGCTTATATTTTATCAAATATGAACACAACTAATAAAGTAGAAACAATGGCTATTGTAGAGGGAGCAAAATATAATTCAATAGGAAGTTTTCAAAAGATACAGGATATCGATATAATACAAAATAAAATATGTGAAGAGAATAACGGAAACAGTAATGAAAATATATTGGAGACTAATGGTAGTGATGAACAGCAATATTCTCCTAAGATTTGTGAAATGTCAAATCACGTGTTATTACAAAAGGATAAGGATGAGGAGGAATATACGACACAAGCACAAAGAAATATATGTGCAGATGTTGCTACAGATATGCTGTCAGGAACAATTAATAGACATGAAAAGTTAATACGTACATTTCATGATAGTATTAATAGAAATTCTTACATTGAACAAAATTTATCAAATACAAAATCACCACATGTCGACCAAACTTACTTGACAGAAGAAAGCTTTAAGTTCGAAGATAGTCCCACAAAAATAGGACATCGGAAGAAATTATATACTGGTAGAGATTCACCTGTTGATCTTATTAGCATGAAAAGTAATAACAGAAGTTCAATATCTAATTCAAATAAAAATTTACATCCTGCATTAGAGTTTGAATGTACGTTATCAAAAACATTTAAAATTAGTAAGAAAAGAAGAATGAGTTGCTTTTCCACATATAATAAACTAATGAATAATAACCAATTTAGTACTTCTAATCATAAGAAACGTAAATGGAAGAAAAGTATATCAAAATTCAAGACTATAAATGACAACATTACAAAGAATTCAGTGATAGACCAACATTTACTAAAAAGTGGCACTGATAAATATGTAAATAGATCTCTATCAGCTAATGTATTTATAAATAAACAATCCGAATTTAATAAATCCGTAAATCGTTTACAAAAAATAAATACAAAAGAACATAAGAAATTAGAAGAATTACAAAGTTTGAATCCAGTAGTTTGTTTAACACGATTATCAAAAGATGATATTGCAAAATATAAAAGATCAAAGAAGATAATAAAAAGTATTAACAATTTAAGTACGATTGAATTATCAGGACTTAGTAATCAACGACGTAGACGATTAAATAAAATGACAAATATGAAACACTTAGTTGTTCGTTTATCACGTTTGTCAGAACACGATATTGAAAAATATAAGAGGCTAAGTAATGTGGCATTAAACCTAAATTCAAAGGTTCGTTTAAAACAATCATCAGAGATCGAAATTCAAAAGTATACAAAATCTACTAACACTATGAACAATTTTAGAAATTTAAATCCAGTAGTTTTGTTAAAAAGACTGTCAAACTTTGATATTCAAAAATATAAAAGTGCCAATAATAAAAGTACATTAGGTAGAAGAGATTCATTTTCAAAATTCGCCCAATTACAAAATGGTGATAAGATTAATAACCTTCCACAACTTGATAAATTAATGCGTATGACTTCTATGTTACATGCTGTTGCAGTAACCGAAGACACAGCTAGCGACCAAACTACTGTTTTGCTTTGTAAGTGTGATAATATGTCACTCAGCGACTGTTCTACAGATAATTTATCTATATTTTCAAAAAATAGTTCTCAACCCCATTCTATTTCTGTAAAAACTCGTAATAATCATATGTCACAAATAAAAGAAAAATTTCATGAAAAAGGAGAAGAATTAAATAGCGAAATATGTAATAAAAAAGTAGGTATGACAAAAACGCATGTTAAAAATAAAATAGAAAGAGAAAATGATAAAAGTCAATTAGAGCTTAGTATCAATAAAAGCAATCTTAAGAATAAGCGTGATTCGAGAAAAAGACAATTTACAAAGCTACATAGTAAAGATAATTCCTTTGAGACTAATTCGGAAACTTTAGATATAAATAAAGATGTACGTCATATAAATGATATAGCATCATCTTTGAATAAATCAGACGTAGTTCTTGAAAGACGTAATGAATGTATAAATAAGAATAAAAAGAAATCACATATCTCATTTTCCTCTGACGAAGATAATGAATTTATGAAACTTGTACATTGTTCAGAAGATATGCAAAAATTAAAACTAAGACAATATTATAAAGTATTGAATGAAAAATTCAATAGTACAGTAGATAAATTAGAAGAAACAAGGAATAGTATAATAAAATTTACAGTTTCAAGTATGAATTCAACTAGTTTATCAAATAAGTTATTTTCAGATTCTATAATTAAAGATGGTACGTTTAAAAAAAAACAAGAAAATTTAAGCCCAATGAAAAATGAGAAGTGTTTGTAACAATGTAATTTATTGGTGAAAGAAGATCGTAATCAAAAGTTACGTAAAACAGGAACTGAAATTGAAAATTTAAGTTATTATCCAAGATGAGTGTTACGGAAAACAAAAGCAAGTCTTTATGTCTTAAAACAAAAATTTTTGATCCTGAACCATTGACCTAATAATTTATTTTGAGATGACAAAGAATAACTTAATAGAAAATAATTTAGTTATTATATTAAAAAAAAAATCTTTGGTATATATAGCAAAATGTAATGCATTTAACTCGTTGCAGCAAATTATGTGTGCAGAAGTAAATGCTGGTGACGTAGAATAAGATTCAACTAATATGGAATAGATATTATATACAGCATATTCTTGTTATTTTTAGTGCGCATTTTGTTCTTAAATGACAAATACGAAGAAAGGATGACAGAAGAAAAACTTATACAATGTTTTATAAGCGATACAACAACGTATATTAATTTTCTATATTTGCAATGTTTATATATGTTATTGTATTTTTTCTCTTTCATCTTGTTCTGTCTCCGTTTACGAGAAAAATGTCTATACATCTATCTTATAGTAATAATGTACATATCTACATATTCTGCCGCACATTTCTTTCGTAGGCGACACTAAATGCAGTTTCTCGTGACGACCATAGTCGTCATTTGCGGCAATACGTTAACCGGTACTCTCAAATAACGATTCAAGTTTTTGATAGAAAGTAGTAATATGGTTAAATGTAATAGGTTCCAAAGGTTAGATATCTAAGTAAATGTGTAAAAAATGTAGAAAAATTGACAAGGAACTTATTATCGCTGCAACGAAATGTAAAAATATAAAAATTAATATAAGTAGCATACTTATATAGAAATTAACTCGATCTGAATTAATTAAAAACAGGTAATATTGAAGTATCTTTATTTTAAAATTGCTGGATAATATTTCAGAAACTTGCAGGAGTATTTAAGAATTTTCGGGGCTTCTCAAACATAAAGAACTAAAACAAGCTGCCTGAACTTAAACGACTTAGTATGCAAATGATATACATAACAAAGGTTAAAAAATAGGTTGGACGGAGGGTTAAATGAAGAATTTGTTTGATTCTCTATATTGCATGTTTTACATACATATAAAGCACTATTATATATTTTTTGCTCTTGTATATATATTTTGATTAATTTCTTATTTTCAATTATTAATTTATTGTTTGCAATTAATCAATGTTTCGTTCCTATGATACTTTATAACAACTTATATTAAAATATAACAATAAACTGTTTTTTTATACATGTTCTGTTCCAGATCCAAAGTTATTACATAGTTTTATTATTATTATTTGTTTGAGTATAGTTTGCTAAGCATCCTGTTTCTTGTACATATGTTCCCTATAATCAAAATTTGCAGAAAGTCTTTCCAATTTTTTTCTTTTCCATACAGTTCAAAGATGTTTACATTTCAGTGTTTTCAACTTTTCCATATTACGTCTTCATTTGCATTGCTTATCTTATATATATTCTGTTAGCAAAAGATTGTCCTCAAACAGCAACAGTTCCATTTGTTTGATTACTTTTTGGTATCCTCTTTTTATAAAAAAGTCATCAATATCGTATACTAGTAAGGTATATAGAGTCGTGCTCAATGAGTCTTCCACGAGTCTGAGACATGCATCTCCTTTATTCTCATTCCACCCGCTGTCTCGACCCTCATCATTGCTTTTTCATACTATTTTTGTTATCAGTCTTATCATTCGTGAACTCAAGCCCATGTCAAATAACTTTTTCCATAATACTGAGTTCACGACTGAGTCGAATGCTCTTTGAAAATCTATGAATGTTGTCGGTAATTTTCCTTTTTATCTTTTACTTTCAGTGTTATCTTGATGTTCAGTAGAAACAGGTTTAATACAAACTCGTATAATCTGTCTTCGCTTCAGAACCTGATCAACAAATTCCGAAAGAATTTCTTCCTTAGTTTCCTTATACGAATTAGTGATCCTCCAATTTGTCAACATTTATGTATATATATGTCTTTAGAATTGTAAATATCAGAGTAATACCTCTGCAGCTCTTAGAGTCCAATTGGTTGCCATTCTTCTATAGCAACGTCTGCTCGAATTTACATCATTTTTTATATGTTATTAAATTTTTTTAGTAATTGTATTTCACGTTTAGAAGCAGTTCTTTATAAAACTCTATTTGTATTCTATCTGAATAATTTCTAACCTGGATTTTTGGCGTCAACATATTTGGCGGTGTCGATGATTCCTATGGAATTGTCCTATTGGATTCCTCAGTCTTGCTTATCCCTATTTACGTTGCTTGGTTTCTTATATCCATAAATCGCTGTTGACCTTGAATTTTTGTATCGCGTAACACTGGTCCCGAAGAACAAAAGTCTCAAAGGAATCCGAGGAATCTCTTGCAAATGGGTTGCGTTCTCTTGGAAAATGATCTTAAATTTCCATTGGCTCTTACATCGATGTTATTTATATTTCGAAATCAGATGGGAAGAGAGTAGTTTCATATTAGGAAACAGGAAATTATTCCTTAGCGCGTGAGATAACCCTCGTAAATATTTATACGTAAATATTTATATTTATACGTGGAGGACATATTGTAGAAGTTATACTTCGTAGATGAATAACACTTTATTTGTGAATTAATTGATATTATAAATATGTAAGTACACTTGCTTGAATACAGTGTACTTCCATATGATAATTTCATTTTAGCAATTAATTCTACCTTTGTTTCCATACATTATCAATTTGTTAATATATGCATGCATGTATTTTTTATATATATAAATGTTTGTAAGTTTTGTTAAGTTTAACTATCGAATCGCTACGCCCAATATATGTTGCCTCGAGAGAATCAAATGAAAAGGGTGGGATACGTAACCGTTAAGAGTAAATATATCCCATGTAACATGATGGAAACCAACATCTTTAATATTCACAATAGGATCGATATCCAGGTGGCAACCTCCAAAAAGCGATGGCCATATTTTTGTTTGCGATAACACTTTTTGCAACCATCGTACAAACGTTCCTTCATTCTCAGGTACATGTTCTATAAATAAATATTGACCACCCTGTAACAAAGAACAGAACAAGTTAGATAAAATCTTTATACATATATATATATATGTATATATTTATCTATTTGAATAAAATATCTGCTGATAATATTAAATTGCATTTTTGTATTTAACTATGTATACAAAATTGAATTATAGTAATAGATATATATATGTATAGAAAGACGAAGAAAAGTATGATTGGAAAATAATAAGTAGATTTTTATGTATTTAATGCACATAATATGCGAAAATACATAAAATAGCTACCATGCAATATTTACTCTTCACATAAGTACGATATTTACCCTTTATAATATTTAATGGATGATTCGAAAATTATGATATAAATATTTACAAGCATTTGTTATATTGTTTACACCAGAAGTTTGAAGATTAAATAACAACACTGTTTATTCTACTAACATAACTTTGTTATATTGGTGCAAAGATTTATAGATAGTTCAAGTTAAAGATATTTATATTCCTGTAAAATCGAAAGTCTTCATAATCCAAATTATTATTAAAGCACAGACACGTTCTTATGGTTTTTGTCCGAAAAATTAATACGAAGAGAATGTAATAATAATTTTGATAAAAGCATTTGTCTTCCATTTCGGATTATTTATTAAATACACAACGTATGGATGTCGTTGCGAAAAAAGAAATGCTGTCTTTCAAAACGATAAGATTATCGATATATTTTTTAATTCCGCTTATTAACCAAGCACTTTTGCTGAATATATCGGGTAAGGCAAGATCTATAGATTTTAGGTCAAACGATGCCTTTTTAATTCAGTGGCAATCCGGTTTGTACGATTTCGCGTTATCACGAAGTAGAAATCGCTCGAAGATGATGGTCGGAGTCACTTTAAATTATACGACAAGATATTTTTACATTTGTGTCGTATTTTTATCCAGACACGTTTGCGATACTCGTCTTCGATCGTCTAAAGTCGTTTAAAACGGAATACACCGTTCGATTTGAAACCACCATCTCTAAGCCTTCTGGACAAATCGTGAAATTTGTTTTCATACTTCTGTCGAGTTATTTCGGTTGCTTAGGTCATGGATTTTTCACGATGAGTATAATGAAATGTACGATGGCGAATATGTAATCTGTTATTTATAATTATGTACATGGTTGATCGTATCTAATCGCAAGCTACTATATATATATATATATGTATAATTTCTGAAATTTAAATTTCTTAATCTTACTAACAAATAAAATATTAAATAAACGAATATCATTAGCGTTATTTAAAGTTTACCACGAGAATTTATCTATGTATACACGTATGTATACATAATATATACATGTTAATTGTTAATAATTATTAGCTTGGTTCTCATTGATTGTAATACATAGGAATATTAATATTTTTTAAGTTAAATTACGACATGGCGTACATTGAAAGCCTTCGATTAATATGTCAATCAAATTTAGTACGTACCATGTATATATATATATATAGTATAGTATAATAGAGTATAGTTGATTAATTATTATTTTACCGGCGTTAGTACCCTGTGGATCTCTCGAAGCGTCGACTGCAACGATTTCACCGAGCATAACGATCTTGTTGTCACAACTACGTCTACATATCCAGTAGGTATCTCTTTCAAAGAGCTACCATCGCCAACTATTAGACGTTCGATAATGATATGAGAGAATTGCCAGGAACGATTCCCGTTTATCAAATATTCTGGTAGTTTTAGATTTCGGTCGACTCCGATCAAGTGCGTACTGTCCGAGTAAAATTGTATATTTTCACCTGTAACATTTAAACTTAATGCATGTATATCCACGTTACTTTGATGCTTATTTTTATAAAACAGAATTGCGTAGATATGCGTATAATACCTTAGAGGAATAATCTAATCAACTTTAACTTTGGTATAGTTGAGTCATGTTACGTTCATACCTATGCATACTGAATTATACAACAAGAAACGAATTAACTTAAGGCGATAACGTGATCCTATCAGCTGCCGAATGTTAATCGCCGATGGTCTTTTGCATTTTGCTAGGACGTTCGGAAATACATATTGTGACATTTGAATAAAGAGAGTAAATATTAAGGCAGACACGATTTTCACAGAAACTTTTGTATCGGTATTTTGTATCGTCTAACAATAAAAGCGTCTAACAAGAAAATACCGTTGCATTTCAATGTTACTGATAAAAGAGTTTCCTGTCGCAAATTATACTTGTGTAATTTATGACTACAGCTATACTATGTGACATAATCGACGCTCATCAAAACATTTGTAGGATACAAGTTCTACGATCGTAATGTCATTAAATATTCAATATATTAATATAGAAATAACATAAGACGATATTGTTTATCCTCTGTGAAAAGATACAGTTACTTCGTAACATCACGTATATTGTAATTTTGTCCTGCTTTACGTTGATATTGTATATCGAAGAAGTGTAGTTTATGTGTGTTTTTATTCATTTTTAAATTACATATTAGATTTATATCTAATCCTTTTTATTCAAAATTAATTTTATCGCCTTTTATCGAATTATTTTTTGCAAGTCATTTTTCGTTATTTAAAATCTCCTTTTTTAAATATAATTAATTCCTTTATTTAAGTTTGCTATAGAGAATCAATTTGGTCTCGATTTATTCCCAATATTTCGAGAGCGAAATTAGCATAAGATCGTATCACGTATGTATGCATATACAGGTTGGTTGGTAACTGGTGGTACAAGCGGAACGGGGGTGATTCTACGCGAAAAAAGAAGTCGAAAATATAGAATAAAAGTTTTTCGTTCGAGGCTTTGTTTTCGAGAAAATCGACTTTGAACTTTCGCTCGGTACGCGTGCGGTACGTTATAACGGATCTCACTGTAGATCGTTGTCTCGATGAAAAAATTAAAAAAAAAAATTAAGCTAGTCATCTTTTCCATTTATTTAGCAAGTTACTAACTTGAAGTCGAAGATATAGAATAAAAATTTTTTGTTTTTTTAATTTTTCCATCGCAAAATTGTGAGATCCGTTATAACGTACCGCACGCGTACCGAGCGAAAGTTCAAAGTCGATTTTCTCGAAAACAAAGCCTCGAACGAAAAACTTTTATTCTATATTTTCGACTTCTTTTTTCGCGTAGAATCACCCCCGTTCCGCTTGTACCACCAGTTACCAACCAACCTGTATATGCATACATACGTGCGTGTGCTTATAGCGAAGTAACAGAAGTGCGCTTTCGATACAACGGATAAAGCTTAGGCAGCGCGTATATGGAAGAATAAGAATTATATCGAATAACGAAGTATCTTTGTCTCTTATAATTTATAATTTATATTTAACGGTACAATGATACGTAGATGCAAAGTCGTCGAAATAATACGTATACTCCTTATCATTTTATTACTCGTTACCATTTCTGCTGCATACAACGATCTTTTATCGCACAAAATTATAATTAGTAGTACGCTGTTAATACGCGATTTATTATTCAAATATTTTTGTTCTTCCTTTTATTATCTTAAATTTGACCCACTTGCGAGGAACAATATCTTCAAGTCTTTACGCTTAATGCTTGATGTTTAATATCGACGCTCGATGCTCGTAGTGTATATTCATTTAATTATTCTAAGTCGTAAATATCGTAATGTAGCTGTGTGTTACATACGTATCCAAAATATCACGGATAATACGAGCGGTATAAAGACAAAAATTCCAAACAACTTTCCAACTGTCCATTTGCATTTTTGGAAGGAAAAATTGAAACGAGTTCTATAGGTGTTACGATATAAACCGCTGGCACAAATAAAAAATAATTGCTCGAGGAGTAAGTCTTCTCTACTTTCGGTAAGATTTAAACGTACCACGATTAAAGACGTCGTTTAATTTCAATAATTCATCCGGTAATAATAAATTAATATCTTTAGTATTAAGCTCAGTTTCGTAAACAGGAAAAAAAAGTTAATCACGGAAAAATCTCAGTGTATTATCGCGTACCAATTAATCACGAGGCGAAATACGTATTTAAGTAGGATTTCGGTTGAACATTACGATATTAACCGTTAATAATGTACGTACATGGAATGCACACCCGTTTTAACGCCAATCTCAAGCAGACGTATGCAACCCATGGATCGTAATACTTTGTCGCTTGAAACAATGTACTGTAACGACTTGAATAAATGCTTCTTATAAGGTACCATGAGTTCGGCACACTCCACTTCGAATCCGGTTAAGTGAACCTTGTAAACGTACTGTCTCAAATTTGGCCATTTTCGCAATATCGAAATCACCATGGTAAGAAAAATAAGCACTAACAATCCATAACTTGTAATCACGTCGCGCATCCACAAATCCTTACTGCTCATCTTTTGTTCTTTGTGGCCTACACTCGTGGAAAACTTCTTAAATATTTTCGTAACGTGTATCTTGCTGACCGAACCAACCGACTAAGTAAGAAGACCGAGCGGCGACACTTTCTAAGTTTCAATGATCGGCTTTGCTTGTTTCGCGCTTCTTATGTAAACCTCTTGCACTGATTTCGAATATGTTTTATAAGACATGCGAGTGTACATTAGTAGGCGAGTACACTTTAACACGGCCAGTGTTCGCTGAAACGAATATTGTTGGCTAATCATACACGATAAGATAAGTATTACTGCCATATTTTCTGAATGAGTACTACTTCATTATAATAAGTTCTATTTTAAAGAACGTAGTTAACCGGTCATTAGATTTTGCACTAAATAATACCAACATTCCTACGCATACATGACAAACAATTATTGTTATATCAGCTTTAGGAAAATATTCTCTGCTTTCCATCTTATTTGTACTATTTCGTTGGCTCAAATCCTACACGATACGCTGTTTAGTGTTCTTTGATGCGTTTACAACGTTAACATGTAATTTATACGAAACAAAATAGACAAACTCGAAGATGGTAATCCGCTGAGGGTAAGCCACCCACATGTTGTTTGCTAGAAATTAAGCTAGAAAAATTTACCGAATGTTCAGCTGGACAAATTGTAAAGTACAAATTAAATAATAATAATAAAAAGAAATTTAATTTATATTCTATAGTTACGCATAGATTGCTGCTACATGTTTCGAAATGTGCATAATGTGCACGATGAAAAAAGATCGCCACGAAGTTTATTTCAATATCGTCGATATCTTTTTGCATGTTATTATCAACCTCTTGTAATATAATGTGACGTTGTACACGGTATCAAGAGCAGTTCAATAACCTATGACACGATGACTTTGAAACGATCCGAGAAAAAAGTAAAAATTGGAACGATGCGAAAATAATAAAGCAAGACGAGGATAATGAATCGGTTGTCCGTGTTTGAATCGCATCGTTCCGTAAGCTCGAAATTCTATCGATATCGGCCAGAAACTAACGCAAATTTTCTAATTACTAGCAATACGTCTTCTATCCGAGACACGATTTCTAACAGAAGAATAATCAACGTGCCTTTAAATTCAAACGATTCAAATAAAGTTTTTGCTATATGCGATAGATCATTGTTGTATATTTTTGAAAAAAACGTAGACTTTGGACTTCGGTCTATTGTTTTCGATTATAGGCGCACAAACTTCGCCGCACTTTGATAAACTTAGAAATAAATAAACAAATATATATGTATATTCGCCATACGGTTCGCTGTAAAAAATCGGAGAGAAGACGCGAGAAGGAAAAGGGGTGGAGGAGGATGAGGAGGAGGAGGAAGAAGAGGAGAAAGAACGCGTGTGCTGAAAATTTTACGGAAGAGAACACGATTCGGCTGGTAGAAGAAGAGGGAGAACAATAGTCTCACGTTTTCGAAATGCGAGAAAGAGCGTACAAGTTAACAAAGGGGAAACAGCCAGCGGGCAAAAAGAAAAACGTTCGAAACGAACATATCGGCGCTAGGGGAGCATGATTCTTTGTCACTCGAGTTTTAAGAGTGACCACAAACAAAACGGGTTCGATCAATTTGGTCCCTCGAGCGAGTGCGTGCATTCGTTTGCCTCTTGCTCGTGCTCTTACGCGTACGTACACGCACCATACATATATCTTTGCGTTTCACATGCACGAAACTCGAAATTCGTTCGATTCAGAAGCATTTCGCCAGCTCCAGAGAGGCGTTTTGTTGTTGGCACTGGGGCGGAGAGGAGGCCGACCGTTTTCGTAATGGCTCGTTGATTCCAGAGAATCGCCGTAAAAAATCATACATACATCTTCCCTTCTTCGTTCTTCGTCGGCGTTTTTATTTTCTCTTACTACGTGCTCGTCGTGGCTCGCTCTGTTCCTCGACGTTTCACTTCGAAAGAGTTCAGCTATATCGGGTCAAGATACATTCGACATCTCAGGGACGTTTTCAATCGTATTTTGCAGATCCTTTGGAGATCTTGAGAAAATACAGCAATCGATAACACCATATTTATCTACGACGATAAAATCATATTTATTTGATCGTATTCTTACGGTCAAGATGATTACACGAAATTAAAGCAGGCGGACCGTGAGATAGAATTGTATACTATGCAACTAAGAGGCACGTAAGATGTCTCTTATACGTTGGAAATATCTTGGTTCGATATAATTGGTCGAACAATATTTTCACAGCGATAACTGCGATATTTTTACAGCGATAACTGAAAAATCGCGTTTTTTGAGTTGCGACACTTTTCGTGCAACGGTACGATACGCGCAAACATTAAATTTGTCTTATTTGGTTAGAAAAGTACACGTCCTTTTACTCGACGAACTAATTTTTTTTAGTTCGGTATTTAATTCGTTGTCTACTCGACTGGAAAGTTTCGGTATTTTTGTCCCCGCGTTCTTTTCATCCCGCTTTTTGTCATTCGAGAATGCCCGAAGGCTCGTCAGCAAATTTAAGTTGGACACGTACAAGCACGTGAACAGTTCTTCGAGTACTTGGACGGCTTATTGGTGAGCACGAAGCGAACGGCCTACCTATCTGTTTGATCTTTCGAGAGTGAAAAATATTTAAATGCTGCCGTTGCTGTTTTATATTTTACCCACTTGCGCGCGTCACTCCGCTTCTCCTGACTTTCCCCTCGCAAACAAAGCCAGTATTTGATAAACTACCCGTCCACAACTTTCATGCAAAATACCTCGAAATGTTATCATTAAACGATACAAGACAATATCCCCTTAACCTACGATTTACGTTCGAAAATTTTGCCCCGAAAACGTAAACAAGCTATTATATATTATACAGGGTGGTTGGTAACTAGTGGTACAAGCGGAAAAGGGGTGATTCTACGCGAAAAAAGAAGTCGAAAATATACAATAAACATTTTTCGTCTGAGGCTTTGTTTTCGAGAAAATCGACTTTGAATTTTCGCTCGGTACGCGTGCACTTTATCGCGTCTCGTTATAACGGATCTCACTGTAGATCGTTGTCTCGATGAAAAAATTAAAAAAAAAAATGCATTCTTTTTTTTTACGACGGCCTTGCCTCGAATTTCACTATTCTTTCTATTTCTCGTGAGGTCCGTTAACTCGAAGCCTGGCTGAATGTTTATGAAAATGAGACTCGTAAACCGGTGGAAATTGCCGCTGAACAGAATTTAGACGTTGAAACGTCCATCTCGAGATAGCTATCTCGAGATCGTTCTGTTGCAACGATGAATTCCAGTATATAATCCTTTGCCACTTGAATTTTCTTCACTTACGAGACGTGATAATTATAATTTATAATAATAATCGATACGGCTTTTTCAATTTAACCCGTATTTATATGTCTATTATACAGGATGGTTGATAACTGGTGGTACAAGCGGAAAGGGGGTGATTCTACGCGAAAAATTGCAAATTTTTTGTTTTTTTAATTTTTCCATCGAGACGACGATCTACAGTGAGATCCGTTATAACGTACCGCACGCGTACCGAGCGAAAGTTCAAAGTCTATTTTCTCGAAAACAAAGCCTTAAACGAACAATTTTTATTCTATATTTTCGACCTCTTTTTTCGCGTAGAATCGCCCCCTTTCCGCTTGTACCACCAGTTACCAACCACCCTGTATATTATATTTGTCCCGATCATCGTACTACGGGCTATGCCCGTAGTTGTAGGTTAAGGGGATATGGAACGCTACTTATCATATCTTATTTACATCTTCTACTAGCGAAAGATTATTTTCCAACGTTTCGTAAAATTCCATATCCTAATATTATAAACTATAACGTGAATTTACATACTTGCGATCGTAGCAAACAATTAATCAACGAACTAATAATTTGCATTAATACGAATACGAAGCATCGTTACCTGTAGTTAAAGTATATCTTAGTCGGTGTTCCGACTCTTCTAGTTAGTCGTCGGTATCCCATTTGCATCCAAGCGCGGATTAATCCGCGCGCTGCGACTGTCTTCTATCGCCATTTTTTTTTTTAAATAAATAAGTTTTACTTTCTTCCTCTGTTATAAAGGATGCAAGATGCGATGTCCACGAAGTAACATTGTTTACCAATCGGTTTAAACGGTAAATTTTCGATAAACTCCACGAAGAATTCGGATGTCACCTACTGCACCTACGACCGACCGCGCGCGGTGACAGGGACCAGTCCTCTTAAGTAGGGCCATGATGCAAATGGGGTATACGTATGTAACGTAATTCTAAAAACGCGTTCTTTCGCGTCGATTATTCCGATATCGTAATTTTTAGAAGCACCTCGAGTATTTTACCTCGAGTATTTTTACAACAAATCCCGTATAATATATTCATCGTAGGAGGGATTCAACTTGAGCGAAACACGACGCCGTGAGGCATACAAGACGTACTCGAGAAGAAGCTCTTTTTTTCAAGTGTCGCTACGGCAGCGAAGTCGACGGCATTGTCTCCATTGTTGGCGAATCGTAATCAATATTTTCACAATATGGCGCCATTGTGCTTAGCACGAGCTAGGTGCAAGGGTTCTTCGTGTACTCTGTGAGAAGCTTTTATTTCTCGGCATCGTCACGGATCATTGTTTAACAAGTACAGTAAAGTAACGCAAAATAGAGTATGGCGAAACGAAGAGTCCGTCATATTTGCCTCGTACCATTGTTGTTCGATGCATATTAGCCAAATATTCGATCCGGTAGAATTTTCTAAATTTTCTATACGATGCTTTGGAATCGCGACTTTGATCGAGAAAGCGACGATAGTTTGACGACGAAGCTCGAGAAACGTAGCTTCCTGGGCGCCTGTCGGCGAGCAACCAGTCATATACTTTCCAGCTTCCGTGGAATTTCGATAAGGTTTTCGATTAAAAAATCGCGTATTTCCTCGTATAGATACGATCCTTTGATTAAAATTTCTATTTAGAAAATTCGATTCGATATGTTGTTACGTACGAATTCGTCAACGATTATCAATTACATTTCTGTAAGATTATTACTTACAATTACTTCGATTTCTCTGCGGGCACCGTATCGATTTTAACGCAAAACTTAAGAAAACGCCGAATCCTTTTCTAACTAGAATATAAATTAATTTTACAATTCCTATGTCCACTCTGACTTTTATTAAATCGCTGTAATTATCGGTGTACCATTGCAACCATTGTGTAGCACCGAGTTTACCGAATCACCAGCAAAATATCATTCTCAAGGAAGATACCTCCGATTTTACAGTCCACGTTAATGCCATGTTTTCGTTTCAAGGTAGTTAGGCATCTTTCGGTATCCAAACATCGCAGCAATATTTCACGCAACGAGAGTCGCGTGGTACTTTGTAGCGTTAGCGCATGCCACGGCCAAGGTATCAGGTCGTAAACTAACAGACGCATTAACTAAGGCCGACACAATACATCACGCGTCAAACAAATCATAAACGATCACAGTACATAAAGAAAACTATAGATCGAATAAAGGAATACCGTAAAAGCGATGGGTCGTGCTCTTGATTTACGACAAGTGCTTATTTCCGAGGTTACGGTAACACGCTGACACGAGGACACTTCCTCTCGATTTAGTTTCCTAACGGATTTTCTCTCCTTTCGGTTCCGGTATTCTCGTTTCGTGGACGATATTCTCTTTTAAACAATTGCTTGCGATATCAAATTCAGCTTCTGTCTCTGTTAGATCGTCTCATAAATAACGCGGTCGTTGGTTTTCGTATATACAGTTTAAAAAATTGCACATTGACGCTTTATCGGCTATCGCGTGCGGTATTCCGATATCAGACGCAAACTGTGCGATTTGTTTCTGTTCCGTACAATCGCGCAGCCTAATTTACGGTTTCGATGCGAACAGTTGCAGAGACGTGCGTTAATTCGAAACTAATACAACGCTGGTCGATAGGCCCACCTCCGTCGTGTCTGTTTTAAGTAAGAAACGATAAGGGGGAAGAAACGGGAACAGAAGCGTTCTGTTTCCCAACAGAAGGAGATTTGGAAAGGAAATATTTATGAAGAACGCAGAGAAGAAGGCGTTGTGGGTTCGAAGTAAGAGATCCGAACAGGGCTCTTTTCCCCGAAAGATCGGTGTCGGCAAAGGAGAGCGACAGAGGTTCTGTCGGGACGAGAGCTCGTCGGCTCTCTCTGTAGTTCGATCGTGGGCGGAGCGTCGCGGTGCGCGGCGTCGTGTGTGAAGCAGAAATTGTCAATGGACGGTATTGTTGGGACGCTGGTGCGTGGCGGGAAATAATAAATGGCCGAGCTGCCATGCTTCGGTCCTGTAAAAACCTACGATATCGGGCAACACCCTCTTTTTTCCCTCGACGCTGTTAATGCGCAAAATCTTTGCACCGACGTCAGCCTCCCTTCTTCCACGTCGGCCAACCTACCGACGCTTCTTCTCCATCAAAATGGAATCTATTCAACGCCTTGCTCGATTTTCTATTAAGTTCAACCCTTAATGCGTCCATCGAGTTTCCGGGTTTACCGACACACCGCAGGAACCGTTTCAGTTTTTCTTTTTTTCAACTTTACCGAAACTCGCTCGTTCTCGTCCCTTTCGCTCCGTTCTTCGTATCAACGGTCTTGCAAATCGATCCGATAATTGCAACAAATTAATCGATCACCTGTCTCGCGCGAATATCCGAACGCTCCAATTTCGCCAGCGCCGTAACGAGACACGGCTATCGCGAGTGTATCGATGAAATTCGAAACGAATTTCAAAATATTCCAAGATGGTATCTCACTAGGGGGTAGCCATCCGCATGTTATATTATTGTACCACTAAGCTATGATATTTTACCAAATGTCCTACTGGACAAATTGTAATAAATAAAATTCAAATAAATAAAAAGAAAAAAAAATATTTAAAAATGTACAAAGAAAGTCCGCCATACTCCTCGAAGTAACGCAACTTCGTCTTGAGAAATTTTCTCACGCAGCGATACATATGGCGAATGATCGATAACACGTACGTACATCTAACGTTATTAGAGAAACACCTTACGTATCTGTCGGTGTAGTATCGTGTCGTGCGAATTATGAACAAGCGGTTGCTGAGCACGTACGCGATGGCGCTAAGACAAAAGACACGAGGCTAAGACAAAAGACAAGGGGTTGCTATGGGACATAAACGAATCAACAGCAGTATGAGTTGAGAAGCCAGAGAGCGCGGATCGCGTTGACGAGAGTTGTTAATTAATTATCCAGTTGTCTTTAATTATTATACGTTTGTCGCAATTGGTTCATGTTAAATAACCATTGCTTTCTGTTTAATTTACATCTGCTTAATCCATTTACCGTTGATAAACTGATCATAGTTATTTACGATACTACGCTAACATTACGTTCGCGGAATTAGAGAACCTTATTAATTAGAACACCTTATTAATGTTAAGAATTTTACGTCGATTAATTATAAGCAGCTACGTGCAATCTTACAATTTTCCTTGCTAAATGTACCTGAATGTATAGAAGCGCGTGGACGTTTAGCACTGGCAAAGAGAAAAATCGCAAGCTAACATTCGTGTCACGATAGGCTATTAGTATTTTACGACACGATATTATCCGTGTTGTCACGGCTGTCGCTAAAAATCAGTTTCGATCTGTAGCAGGTCGAACGACGCGACGTACCAGTCTCGGAGAAGAGGCATACGACTTTAGAGGGAAAAAAGCGTCTTTTTCGTTTACCAGATAAGTATAGATCCAGACATCCATTGTTCGCAAACATTGGAAAGGGATCGGTACAAAACTACGTTGCTCGCACGCGGCGATCTTTCTTTTTCATCGTCTCTCCGTAAATCTGGCATGTTTAACCGTGACGCAATGAACATCAGTAATTTACAACCGTATTCTTCGACCACCCGCCGATTACCTTAACTTCCCCGAACAACGTCCTCTTTTCAAATCTGCAACTTGTTACTCGCGTATTCCAATTTTTTTCTTATTCTGTCGTTATTGTCGTACCTACTCGTCAGGTATTCGTCTGCGAATTGTGCGAGATTATGCAAAAAGAAACGATCAGTACCTGCTATTATAAGTTACGATCCTATTTAGAGCGTATTCGTTTTTCAAGCTACGTCGAAATATTTATCGAACGTTTATTTATTCGTCGACATTCGTCTATACATCGAGAATGTTAATTAGATAATATTGATCTACGTTTTGCGATGGGTTCTTCTCGTTTATTTTACAAGTAATAGCCCTCCTACGTACACAGATATAATACGTTTTATATGACATTATCGACGATAACGTTAAAATTGATAATATCGATAGATAACGTTAAAAATTCGGAATTCCTTTACTCGGCAAACTTTATACGGCCACGTGTTTCGATAACAAGCTCTCCTCGATACAAAAAGGCTGTCACGACGTCGCGTTGAAATTTCAGCAAACCGAAGTAAACGAATCGAATTCACTGGCAACGTTTCTCGCTCCGTTCTTCGCGCTGCCTTTTCGTACCTGGAAAAATACCGGATGCTAACGCCACCACCATCGTCGTCGCGGACTTGTTTCTCTACCATCGGCATCCAACCACCATCGTCCATGTCGCTTGTTCTGCCAGCAGCATCTGGATCTCGCATAAAGACCAACCACCACAAACAAAAGGTCTCACAAATCGACAGCCCCGCCCTCAAGAAGAAAGAAGTCAGGGGTCCACGCCGACAATACTCTGGCATGTTTTTCAATATTTAGTCATCATGACTTTTCGTCGGCCCTTTCGGGCGAAATCTCCGCGTCGAATTGGAAACTAGATAATTCAATTAGAGAGCAGCTGCCGCTACAGCTATACGCGCAGGTAGAGCCTACCTCGGGATTATAGGGAGACCGTGGAGACGCGGAGAATTGAAAAGAGTACAGCAAGGCAGCCTCCGCGTTCACCGAAATCCATGATATCTTTATTTGCACTTCGCCGCTGCCTTTTCTCTCATCTTCGTCGAAAGAAAAAATTAGTAGCCTGAAAGAGGTATTCCTCTTTCCTTGATACGGATCGTTTTATAAACATCGTCTGGAACACGCATTGTGCACGGTTTTGTTTAGAATTAGAATCGACTGTTTATAGTATCGAGAGTCTGTGGTCTAAGGCTCGCGTATCAAACATTTTCATACGGTATAAATTATTTGCTAAAAATCATATTTGCTTTATTAGATTATCGTACGATAGAAAAGTGCAATCAACGGAATTTCATACCGTTAAAAGTCTGTAATAACGAATTTGTTATATAGCAACAAATCGGAGTTCTATATACGTAATTCAATCCTATTCCAAAGCTATTTTCTTTTATTATTTAATTTGTACTTTAGAATTTGTCCAATTCGTTCAGTAAACGTTCAGTAAATTTATCTTGTTTCAATGCGCGAAATAAACTTTTGTCTTGTAACGATAAAAATTGTTTTTTTATTTATTTATTTATTTACATTTTACAATTTGTCCAGTAGGACATTTGGTAAAATATTATGGCTTAATGGTATAATAATATAACATGTGGATGGCTACCCCCAGTGGGATACCATCTTCGAATTTAACGATAAAAATGTACCTGTTTTATCGTGTTATAGAGTATCGCAGAGTATCGATATAGACTACAGAGTTTTATCGTGTTACATACTAAAGATATAGTTCATACGTTACATACATACATTTACAATTATTAACGTTCCATAATATTCTATAACACGATATAACAGGTACATTTTTATCGTTACAAGCCAAAATTTTTTTGTGCACTTTGAAACAAAATAAATTTACTGAACGTTCAACTGGACAGATTGTAAAGTACAAGTTAAATAATAATAAAAAAAAAAAAAAATAGCTTTGGAACAACAGTAAACGTCTGTAAAACATAGTTTTACTCCATATGACCGAATTACATATAGAAAACTCCGATTTGTCGCTATATGACAAAATTAAAAAGGAAACGCGCAACAGATCTCATAAAGGATATAACTTAACACGAAGATGGTACCCCGCTGGGGGTAACCACCAACATGATAATCAAACAGCCAAAAAATTCTACCAAATGTCCAAATTGGACAAATTGTGAATGTAAACAACTAAAAAAAAAAAAAAATTCAAAGCACTATCGTTCCAAGAAAGTTACTCACTTTTATGATATACGGGGTGGTTGGTAACTGGTGGTACAAGCGGAAAGGGGGTGATTCTACGCGAAAAAACAAGTCGACAACATAGAATAAAAATTTTTCGTTCGAGGCTTTATTTTCGAGAAAATCGACTTTGAATCTTCGCTCGGTACGCGTGCACTTTATCGAGTCTCGTTATAACGGATCTCACTGCAGATCGTTGTCTCGATGGAAAAATTAAAAAAAAAATTAAAAAAGAAATTTTTATTCTATATTTTCGACTTCTTTTTTCGCGTAGAATCGCCCCCTTTCCGCTTGTACCACCAGTTACAGAAAATTTGTTTAGAAGAGATAATTTAAAATTTATTTTATAAATGTATTTAGTTCAACTTTAAAAGTACGTGAAAGGAAGTTCGATACATAGCATCGTAAAATTCGATGACAGAGTCACAGCTTCGTAGCGGAAGGCAAAGCAGGCTATCCCATAAGAGTCCCATAGGCATTGTAAGAGGGCGATTATGCACGCAATAAATAGATTATCGGCGATAGTGACTCCTGTGGTGAGTGACGAATTTTCCTGAATACTCGTTAAGAATTCGTCCAAGACCTACCCCGAAAGGCAGGATCAACCACTTTCCGAAAAAATGCGAGGGAAATGTGTCGGAGGAAAAGCTTACAGAAGGTTTCTTGCGAGACAGTCACGGTGAATTTCAAAAATTAGTTGCGTCTGGTGCCTCTTGTTCGCCTCTGTCCTCCGAGTACAATCGAAGACATCATGTCGCGTAAGTAAGTAATGAAACGACGCTCGCATTTGTGCCAATCGTAGCAAATATTTACTGCTGATTAAAATTTACATTTCTTTATCCATATCTCTTATCTTAGAAGAAATTATTTTAGAAGAAATTTATTTTTATTTTTTAATCTCACGCTAAGATCCATTATAGATGCAACCTGGTATGTCACCAACGAACTAATACATCGCGACCTCGAGATACCCACAGTCAAAGAGGAAATAGCAAAATATAGCGACAGATATAGCGAAAGAGTCGACGAACATCGAAACCCCCTAATCACTGGATTACTTGATACGTCGCACCAGATCCGCAGGCTGAAGAGACACTACCCGTTAGACCTAAACGCTAGATTTAACTAGTTATTTATATTAAACAATATTTACTTACTTACAACACTTACTTAAAAATTATACTTATCTAGAATAAGTATCAACTTACTATAAATATTTAGTCATGTCACTGCGCCAAGCCAGAAAAAATTACTGAAAATTCTCAATGCGAGAATTGATTGTAAATATTAATAAATAAAAAAAAAAATTTTTTTTATTTTCGGGATTATACGTATATATACGTTTTCTTATTTCTTCTCATTGCTCCTTAAAATTACACTTTTCCTATCGAAACGCTTATTATAAACAGAGTACGTAGCGCAGTCTCGGAGTATACGTAATTGTAAAAATTTGATATCAAACGATCCTTCGGTATTTTTCTAACAATTTTCCAACGATTAAAGCAAATGCACGCGCATACGTATAACGGTAAGCGAGCACGCGAGAAGATGATCGGAAATTGACTTACAATGAACGAATCGAGATAGAATAGGCAAGAAAGGGAGAAAGTGTCGCTGCCTGCGGTTCCGTGGAAAGAAATTTCTGAAGGAGAAATAATTCGGATTTATCGAACGATAGCAGGATGCGCTCGACGGAAGAGGAGATCCGCCAGGTGTGAAACCGACGAGCCCCGACTTAATGGAGCCACAAATCAATCGCACGATGGGCCATCATTACTTTTGCTAACACAACGTGTTTACCACACAGAAACCGAAGAGGAAAGCTTTCCTGCCACCACGAGGGGCAGACACTGATCCACCTCTCATCCCTTACGCTCAATCGCTCGTATTGTGTCGCATCGTGTACCGCGTGTGCAGAACAAAAATCATTTGGCGCTTTCTATTTGCTCCTTCATGCTAATCGAACGAGACTAAAGCTGACCCCTGTTCTTCCAAACGTATTCATCTATGCGCAGCCAATATCCATCACTCGATACGATACATTGTACGCGATCAACGGCGAAACCAACCTTTCACTTTTGCATTTGTACGCGAACTTGCTTTGCGTTCTTTTCGCAGTCGCGGGTTATCGCGAGTTTTTCAACATTTCGTTGCACATTTCGTTGAAACGTATCACGAACAAGTATCGAACATATTGGAATACAGGAGATCGTCGACGATTTGAATCCTTATCTTAAACGTAAAAGAACAAACGTACGATTTTCGGTCGGAATGTTTTATTTTTTTTTTTATATTTTTAGAAACATCGATATCGAAATATATCAGGTGGTCCGAAAAGTTTCGTTCGTTTTATAAGGAAATAATGGACGCACGACATTTTCCGTTTTATATTATTGTATCGAATAAAATTACGTATGATTTATTTTGTTCTATCGAAATAAAAATCACAACAGATCAGGTTTCATGTTCGTATAAAGATGCATCGTTGTAAAAGAAAGACACTTTCCGGACAACCTAATACCATACAATTCTTAAGTTTTGCTTTCGTTTTTCTTAATTTTCCATATCTCGATCGCTCGTTAATAATACTCGTAAAAAGTTTCAACCAGTTGCGATTTAAGTATAAATTTTATTTTCGCCACAGAACGACACATTTTCTTCTTATCTTTCCAAGTCTATAAATTCATCATCGGTCGCTTACAATACGAAGATTTTACTGTTATCGCCTTTCATCTCTCTATTATTCGCCGACCAATACCACAAAACGACGAATTAACAAAGATGCTGACAAGCTCTTTCGTCTCTGCTTACACAAGCTCTCAGGTTCACGATTATCGAACCGCGTTGCGCTAATTCGACGACTACCGTATTAGTCTCTGTCGATAGACGTATACGCAACGTGTTTTCTGCTCGTCCCGTGATACGTCCCGTAGCTTACGACACGATTTCTAACTTTATTACTATTAGTTGGGCGTGCTCGTGGCGGCTCTATTATCGTCCATCGTGTGAAGGAGAGATTCGTCTTTTAGGCACCGCAAACGTTATGTATATACTTCTGTCTCTTGTTAGTCTTATTAGCGTCCCCTTTCATCTTTCACAGGGCCAAGAATCGAGCACCTACCGTGTGATTAATGAGGCGTTTATGGATCGTTAGAACGCCCAGCGGCGATTTACACTTCTATTCGGAACTGATTATGAGAGTAATTTTTATCGCTTTATCCTACTTTGGTAGCGGTATCGATGCCAAGATCGATGATTTTACCGACTCGATTAATTTCACGTCTCTTCTATTTCATCTACCGATTTATCGGAGACAATCAATATTCTTACGTTTCTTTGCCCAATCGTAAATAACCGTTTAACGCGATTCGACGACTCGAGTGGTTTATATCGAACGTCAAGCCATAACGGCATCGCTATGATCTCTTGAAACGGATTTCTAATACATTTGATTTTAACGAAACATCTAGGCGAATATTTAAACCATTTAAAACTACGCTGCATGTGTAAAACATTCCATTTCGCGTAATTGTTTATGCGAATAAGATCGCGTCATTGAGATCAGGAAGCGCAATTGTTGCAATACCAGTTACAAGGATTATATCGTAAGAAGTCTTATCTTGGTTTAAACGATTTTGGTTACGAATAACCATCTTTATCGTACATTTGGCCTCCGATGAAAAACGACGTCCGAAGCTAATTTTTATTGGTTCGCGATTTCGATATCGTTTCCAACGATCAGCTCTCGACTTGCTTCTCGAACTCATTTTCGAAATGCCCGTTGCAAAGTTAATTTTGGAATCTCCATGGCATCCTCAGTTCCTTCCGTTTCCTCTGATTTCTTGTTAATTTTCTTTTAATTTTTATCTTTTATTTAATCGTTTACATTCGCAATTTGTCCAGTTTGGACATTTGGTAGAATTTACTTTCCTTGTTAATGGCAAAGTATATATATTACATAGCTCGTGCTATTCGATTCTTGCGTCTGGCGCGAGAGCTTTCAGACTGAATTTCATTTTCAATTTGATTTGGCGGAAGTTAAAAAAATAATTCACGCAGAGTATGTGATTCGAAAGTTTGCGCGAATTCAAAGGTTCACACGGAAACTAGAGAAATCGAAGAAGCACAATTCGATACATTTTTACGAGCACGTCGTTCATAGGTTGGGAGAACTTGGATCTTTGAACAAGCCACAAACAAGCAAACAAAGAGAAGCAGCTCGATTGTTATGTCACAGTAGCGGCACAATGCGGATGACAATTGTATCCAACAATAAGGCTATCCTACACTACCGCTTCATAAATTAGTCGCTCAGGATCCTATGACGAATCCTGGGGGACGCGTTCGCACGTCATTCCTAGTTACGAGGACAATAGGATCAAAAATGCTGTCATATGAAACCTCGTTGATCTCTGATCGGCTTTGCCAACAGTTTTATCGCTTCTACGCGAAATCGTTTTTTAAAGCAACTTTAAACGAATCTTGCTCCAACGACGCCTTTTTTCTTATCTGCATCGCGCGTTGTTTCGTACAAAGTTATTTGTTTTTGTACATTTATATTAAAGTCTTCGTTGTACGTACGTATATGCAGATAAAAATATGTTTACCAACAAACGCGTGTACCCTGCCTTTGTATTTGCTAACTTTTCTTTCTTTCGTTTGTACAGCCACAAATTGGATTTTAATAATATCTTCGTTATAAAAGATGCTCCGTTCTTCTAACAATTTGTCTCTGTACTTGGACTGTACTTTCGTTGAACGTACGAACAAACTGTTTACCTGGTATCAATCTACGTTTCGAAGATATCAATTGCAGAGCGAAAAATTGAACCCAGTTAATCGATGGATATCTCGTTCATTTCTCGACTACTTTTTATATCGTACGAAAAACTCGCAAAATGTCATCGAAGGAAGACTGTAAAACTCAAGCTTTAGTCCTACGAAGACGCAATCTGCGAAACTGTATTAAGACGAAGCGCGCAAGACACGAAAAAAGAGCGCTAGATTATCCATAATGAATGTATTATGAGCCCTAAATGGAGCATTGTACGGTTATTTGTAAGTGTATACCTATCTGTGATATGTCAGATTTTTGGAATTTGATGCTGCTTCGACAATGCTGTTCGCCTTGAAGAGCGCAACCTACGTAATCCTAGCTAGGGATAATCTGACTTCAATGGAGTGACGCGATACGAATTTCCAGTATGAATGCGCTACTCGGCTCGTTCCTGCTTACAGAGCCACTTTTCTCTCCATCTATTTCGATGTTCAAGTATCTCGGTTTACGCTTTACAAGATACCGATGACTTCCAGCTTAAACGAAATACGTCGAATACTCGGGAAAGTTAGAAATTATAAGGTTGCCCGAGAAGTGTCTGCCTTTTACAGACACGTCTTTTACAACAACGCATATTTATACAAACACGAAACCTAATCTGTCGAACGTTGCGATCTTTATTTTGATAGAACAAAATACATTCGATAAAGTAATATAAAATGGAAAATGTCGCGCACCCATTATTTATAAAACGAAAGAACGACCCGATAATTTTCACAAGCGCCCTATTTTGAAGAAAATTGCTTTACGTTCTCGATCACTATATTAAAATCTCTTTGGACCTATGAATCCAACTATGGGGAACAGCGAGTAATTCCGACATAGAAATTCTTCGACGATTCCAATGAAAAATTCTAAGATCCTTAACAGATGCACCTTGGTATGCTACGAACGAAACGATACATCGCCACCTTAAAATACCCATTCTTAAAGAAGAAATATCCAAATTCGATATAACGTAAAAATTAACAACCACCAAAACTCATTATTTGACAGATTAAAAAGACATTGCCCTGTGGATTTAAACATTAGATTTAAACATTAGATAATCACTCATTATTCACGTTGTAGTACCACGCTAGAATAATTTACTTGTAATTCTCAATGAGAATTGATCGTAAAAATTCTACCAATTAAAAAAAAAAGATCACGAGTGTTCTATAACAAATGGCACAATTTACAGTCCTATACAGTCTATTTGCCAACTTACAGTCTGTTTGCAAAAAAATATGCGAATCGTAAAAGACTAGTATTAGGTAGTATTAGGTAGTAAAAGGTAGACGAGTACTAATCCCTTAACCTACAATTACGGGTATAATCCGTAGTCGATGATCGGACCAAACGTAAATATTACGGTCATAGCTCGTAATCGATGATCGGGCCAAACATAATATA